GCTCTCTCCCCATATCGCTCTCTCCCCATATCGCTCTCTCCCCATATCGCTCTCTCCCCATATCGCTCTCGCGCTCTCTCCCCATATCTCTCTCGCTCTCTCTCCCCCCCCATCTCTCTCGCTCGCTCTCTCCCCCCATCTCTCTCGCTCGCTCTCTCCCCCCATCTCTCTCGCTCGCTCTCTCCCCATATCTCTCTCGCGCTCTCTCCCCATATCTCTCTCGCGCTCTCTCCCCATATCTCTCTCGCGCTCTCTCCCCATATCTCTCTGCTCTCTCCCCATATCTCTCTAAGCTCTCTCTCCCCATATCTCTCTAAGCTCTCTCTCCCATATCTCTCTAAGCATCTCTCTCCCCCATATCTCTCTAGCTCTCTCTCCCCATATCTCTACAGCTCTCTCCCCATATCTCTCTGGCTCTCTCTCCCATATCTCTCTGCATCTCTCTCTCCCCCCCCATCTCTCTGGCTCTCTCTCTCCCCCCCATCTCTCTAGCTCTCTCTCTCCCCCCATCTCTAGCTCTCTCTCTCCCATATCTCTCTAAGCTCTCTCTCTCCCCCATATCTCTCTACAGCTCTCTCCCTCCCCATATCTCTCTAAACTCTCTCCCCCATCTCTCAACTCTCTCCCCCCCCCATATCTCTCTCTCCTCCCACTCCCCCCCATATCTCTCTCCTCCTCCCCCATGTCTCTGCCCTCCCTCCCTGCCACTCTACTCCCTCCCTCCCCCCCATATCTCTCTCTCTCCAGGAGACTGTAGTGATTGTTAAAATGGCTGAAATGATTGGTTACCGTAGCAACAGAAATATAAAACGCTTCTAGACTGAATAGTTATTTCACTTTTCTATTCTCAAAAAAAGTGTATCTTTTAAGGGGATAACTAGTAGGACACATTATTAACCCATCGCTTAATATTTCAGCAAGCCCCAGAAATCAGGGTGCTTTAACTACTAAAATTGTACTATTCTGTGTATAAATCAGACTGGACTTCTTAAATTCCTCCTTAAATGACAGGATTTTCTCTTGACTTCTATATTCCATAAACATTTTTCATCACCTCACTAAAGCTTTATTATTATTTTATTTACTAGTGAGTAGGTGCAGGTACTATAACCCAATAGTTTTAAAATTCCTCACCCCTCTTTTTAACAGTCACAGCACAAGGGAGCAGCCATTAGGATCCCTTTGAGATGGTGCATTCAAGAAATATTAACCAATTACTTACACGGATAGTGTAGAAGAGCAAGTGGGGTGTTAACACTCATGCAGGGTCTAGAAGACCATTAACAGAGTAGGAGATAAGAAATTCTAAGTTAAGCAGAATGTGCAATAAAGTAAGTATAAACATTAGATGTCTCTGTAGCGGAGCTCTCTGTACCCCGGCTGGGTACCTCCACCAAGAATCGCTTCCTTGCTGGAACTGGGGAAAACCTCAGCACTTTGGCCCCTGACGCTGTGGCTTGACTGGGGTCCTCCTGGAGCATCTCCGTCCTGGAACAGGATAGGGGGACAAGCTCTATTCCCTCCCAGGCACTGGACGACCAAGGGCTTTCCCCGCTGAATCCTCCACGAGCTGAACCAAGGTGCTAAGCAGTGATTAGCCCTTTTCCCTCCCAGTAACTAGATGACTTAGTGCCTTTTATGCACAGACCCCAGCAAGAGGTCTCCAAACCATGCAATACAACCCCAGGAATCTCTGGGCCTGGAAGATTATAGAGTTATAGACCGGTAAGCTAATCATCTCCCAGGAACAGAGAGCCCAACACAAAACATAAAAGTACCCTAAAACATAATAAAAACATACAATATCACATGTCCTACATCCCCCAATAGCCCTGATCTGTGCGCCCAAGTTGTCCAAATAATGCCCAGATCCATGCAGTACAGGGGATACGCCACACACTTGGTCCTACCCCATAATAGTTCCAGGGCGTTTGGTGCTTTTGACGGTCAAATTTCGGGAGCTACTGGAATTGTTATATATTTAAGTTATTCTATCTTCATTTGGGTGCACATGTTAACATTTTAGCAATGAGCAAGAATGAGTCTATTTAAAAATCATTACTTAGTCTTACTGATAAGGGGTTTTAATCAAATTTGGGCTGACTGTGGGGGTCACAATCTCTATCAGTTATGCAAGTTAGGTGTAAGTTTCCTAAAATTTGTTTCTAAATCTCTGCTGTGGGCTCTATCGGCATCTGTAGACTCTCAACGGTCAACTTTGCATTTCATGATGAAATTTTGACAGAGGTCACTATTGATAGTGCAGGAACTCATGACTACACACGCACACAAACTGCAATCACCATACTTTCACATTGCTGTGCCACACATACACTAAAAAATAGTTTAAAAAAAAATAAAAAATCTAATTTTATCTGGACATTTAGTAACAATATGTTTTGTGTTGATGAAATGTAAGGCCTCTATATCATCCTTTCATAAGAGATTAATCTGAACCATTGGACTGTTTTTTGTGTGTGTCTTAACGTTTTGTTATGTGCCCTCACTTTTGCTGCTACCTTGTGTTTCCGTACCTCAGGGTTCGATAAATCCCAGGCGCCAGGTCACCATGGCGACTAGAAATTTCGTCCTGGCGCCTGGGATTTGCCAGCTCTGCAGGGAATATTGGAGCAGTGAGCAGCATGGAGGGAGGGCGGCTGGCGTGAGGAGCATGGGGCAGTTGGATAAGGCGACCTAGAGCCGCCCGCGGGGGTATAGTAGAAGGCGTGTGAGGGAGCAGAACTCTGCCTGCAGCTACAATCTGTTCCAAATAGAAGTAAGGACTGTGCCAATTCTTATCACTATATAATGAGCAGTGAAAATCACAACATACAATAAGTAAAAAAAATTCCAAATGTCAATAAAAAGAGTCCAATAAAAAGGATCTTGCTCTGATCAAATATAGAATAAAGTGCTTGCTCTGGAGTAATATCCTTAGTTTCCTTATCTAGATGAATCCACTTATATGAAAGACCGAAAACCGATAAAGACCCAATAGTGCAATATGAACTGTCCAATATATATGTAGATGAAACAAATGGGAATAAACTCACATTTAATAGAGCTATAGCTAGCTCTAGTTTGAGGGGAGTACAGCGGTATAATCCCCGCTTATGGCATAAATTGTGAGTCTTTTCAATCTGGGGTATGGTCCACACTCAGGAAAGAGGGTATAAAGAGACAACGAATAGTGCTCATTAAATAAAAGTAACAGTATATAAAATAACTAAAATAGTACTCAAAAGCTAAGAGTAGGCTAACTGTTCCTTGGTAACCGCGTTGGTGGTATGATCCCCACCTCAGATTTCTTAAAGTACAGGATACTAAAAAGGCCAGGTAAAAACAAGTGTATAAAAAGATAGTTGGCACAAGGGAAGTGACCAAAAAATCTTTATTACAATACACAATTAAAATTCCACAAACGCTTTTTGCATCAGGGCTAGTGATCGACTGACATTGGTGTTTTTTTTGTTTTTTTTTAAGCCGATACCGATAATCTTTGAACTTTCAGGCCGATAGCCTATAACTTACCGATATTCTGTACATTTACCTTTTAAAAAATAAATAGACAATTTTTTTCTATACAAATCTACTGTTAACCTAACATGTGTTTAATTTATTTTGCTAATCTTTTTTTTTTAATTAAGGTAAATGCACAAAATATACATGTCAGTCAGAATTTTCTGTTTTCCAGAATATATGAATGTGTAGTGGATGCAGTGTGTGTGTTTGTTTGTGTAGTGGATGCAGAGTGTGTGTTTGTGCAGTGTGTGTATAGTATGTGTGTACATAATGAATGCAGTGTGTGTTTGTGCAATGTGTGTATATAATGAATGCAGTGTGTGTGTTTGTGTAGGTATGTTAAATGTGTAAAATGGGGGGGGTGGTGGGAGCATTTTTATTTTTTTAAACTTTATTTTATTAATGCTTATTTTAATTATAGCCACATCTGCTTGCCACAGATGGAGTAGTGTCTCCACCGCTTAATTTATTTAATTAGCCCAACTGTGCAGGTGGACAGTGATCTGTCCACTACCCATTCTTTGAATGGAAGCCCTGACACAATATCCATGGGTGAGGCAGGAGTTTTTAGTACCCCCTCCCTGACCAGGTAAGAAGCAGGGAGGGGGAACTACAAACTCCTGCCTCACCCATGGATATTGTGTCAGGGCTTCCATTCAAAGAATGGATAGTGGACAGATCACTGTCTGGTCTGCATTGCTGAAAATACAGAATATCGGCCGATAATATTGCTAGACCGATAATCGGTCAATCCCTACTCAGGGCTTTATCAAAATGGAATATCATATATAATTAATAGGTTGGTCCATTTTTATTGGCTCAGCCCTTTCTTCTATTTTGTTCCCTATCTCTGTTTTCGATGGGTTTAGAGAGATCTCCCTTCTAGGGTTGCTGCCCATCTGTTAATTAGCACTCACTCTTTTCTCCTGTTGTCCAATCTGTTCCAAGCAGTAATCTTACTGCAGCTCCGATCTGCTCTCTCAGGTTCTCTGTAATGATGCCGGGGCCGGAGTGATGTCTTATTCCGGTTCCCGGCATCATTAAACAGCGCGAGGGAGCAGATTGGAGCTGTAGTAAGATTATTGCTCCCTCGCACACAGGGAAAGACCCACTCAGCTCTCCAAAAGGTAGGGAGGCTGAGTGGGTTTCGATTAAAACAAAAAAATGTATGTGCGCCAGCCAGAGAGTGTGTGTGTGTGTGTGCGTGCGCATGCAAGCCTCTTGTCAAAGGGAGGGAGTGTGTGCGCGCGTTTAGGCACCTGCCCCCTCTAATTGAATGAGGAAGGTGTTTTACTCACCTTTTTTCCCCCAGGCCGTGCCAGTTTCGCCACTGGTGGTCCCAGCTCCATGGCTGAGATTATCAATCTTTATGATCTCCGCTAAGCCAATGCTTTCCTTCATGATTTTGTGCATGCACAGCAAATGTGCCAATCCGCATCTCCTCATAGATATGCATTAAATTCATGAATCTCTACGAGGAACATTCAGCTGCTCCATGTAGAGTTTGGAGACACTGAACGTGGGTGCTGCACGTGGTCACTATAGGTGTTACTAAACCACAATGTAAACTCTGCCTTTTTGCTGAAAAAGCAGTGTTAACACTGAAAAGCTTGCAGGGACAAGCTGTAGACACCAGGAACACTACATCAAGCTGTAGTGGTTCTGGTGATTATAGTGTCCCTTTAAGAATTGCATTTTACTAGTCGAAAAAAAATTAGACTCCTAATTTTTTTAGCTGGCTCCTAGATTCCAAACAAATTTGTCAAGCTCTGCCTTACCTGGTTCTCACCCTTCTCTTTCCCTGTCTCCAAGTGCTTATTTGCTCTTGCACGCTGTTGTCAGATTTGATCATGTCTTCCTTCCTCCTCCACAGCCTCCCACGCTGACCTGGGGGACTTGGGCTGATTCATTCATACAGATAAAACATCCTGCCTTTTAGAAAATCCTTAATGAAAGTGCAAGGCAGAGGCATTCAGTACAGTGAAACAGGCCCCTTGCTTTCTGCTCTGCCTAGTTATCCCTTGTGAAAAAATGTGATGAAAATCTCTGGTTTTATTTTCACCTTCCGTTCAGCTTAAAATAGCGCTATCAAAATAATTAGCACATTATCACCACCGATCCCACGCAGAACGACAAACCAGTTACAACACTTCCAGGAGCTTCAGTCACAAGAATCATTATAAAATGTAACAGATACAAAATTTGGCTGAAAACAAAACAAGTCCTCCATTTGGTCTACTTATATTATCATCCTAGTGCTAGATCATTGTATAGATACGAGTCTCTTTGTATTCCATATTATAGTATACTGTGTATGTAGTTAATTTTCATAACAATGAGTGTGGACATGACAACCGTAGTAATATAATTGAAAACGTACTAGTTTGCAGTATATTTTTCATAATGCTCAGTCTGCGAGCCAAGAAACAATGATTTTTCCAATACAGCTGCTTTGTTATACTTATTCATTAAAAAATTTTTTTTTTAAATTTACTTTTCAGTCATCAACTTCAATTAATTATTAACATTATTTGTTGTAGGATCAATTAAACACACCCCCAAATATTCACTCTTAAATCTTTTTGATAGAATTTCTATTTTATCATCTTAATTTAGCATTAAGTAAGCAGGAGCATGATTAAATGATGTGGTTTATGGACTACCGAGTTTTAAAATTTAGGCCATTATAATATTGGAAGAATTTTCCAAATCTTCTATTTTGACCCAATTTTTCAAATCAGATACTATCCTCAAATCCGTTGAGCACAATTTACCAATGTGAGTAAACCCATCCAGACAGTGCTTCCTTACATTATGCATGCAGAGTGTGAGCGTGATAGGAACCTACTGCCCCCCCCGGCCCCCACCCCTGGGCGGCGGGTGGGGGCCTTAGTGAGAATGAGGAGGGGGGACCTACTGCCCCACCCCTGTGCGGTGGTTGGGGGCCATAGTGAGAATGAGGGGGGGGCCTACTGTCCCCACCCCTGGGCGGCGGGTGGGGGCCATAATGAGAATGAGGGGGGGACCTACTGCCCCCCCCACCCCCACCCCTGGGCGGCGGGTGGGGGAATAATGATAATGAGGGGGGGGGGCCTACTGTCCACCCTCCCCCCCCCACCCTGGGTGGGGGCCATAAGATAATGAGGGGACCTACTGTCCTCCGCCGGCGCGGTTGGGCCCTAAGTCAATTTCCCCCCTCACCAAGGTGACTAGGGGTCCCCAAGCCCCTAGTCACCCACCCCCCCACCCAAATAAAAAGTCCCTACCTACCCCCCTCACCCTAAAAAATAGTGAGTGGGAATAAAATAACTAACCTGTAAAATAAAATTAAACTTACCATTCGACGTCTTCTTTTTTTCTTAAATCTTCATTTTTCAGCACCAAAAAAGGCCAAATAAAAAACCAACATAACTGTCGAATTGAAAATAACATAAAAATCCCGAGCGCAAAAAAAAAAAACAGACGAAAAAGAAAAAACCCGAGTGCAAAAAAATAATCCATCTTCACCCATGGAGGGCTCCGCGCAGACTGAGCTCCGCAGGGCGAGGCAAGGTTTATAAAGCCTTGCCCCGCCCTGCAATTAGGCTAAGAACACTCTGATTGGTGGGTTTAAGCCAATCAGAGTGCTCTTTGTCATTTTACACAGCGTGGGAAAATTCAAAAGAACTTTCCCACGCTGTGTAAAATGACACAGAGCACTGTGATTGGATGGCTTTATTGTTTTTATTTATTGACCACGTTTTGTTTTAAATTGTTTTTATTTTGCACGTTAAGTGGTATCAGACATAGATCATATGCGAAAAAATTGATGCACTGTTGCCTTCGCAGAGGCGCAATAAATCAGATAATAGACATATAGTGCGTATGGTTGCCTGCGCAGAGGCATAAAGGGCTGCAAATATAGGCATCTTTAGATCAGTCGCGTTTAACCAGTGCTGGCATAGTGCACTGCACAGAAAAGCTTAGTCTGGTTTGATTAATGGCAATTTACTTACACATAACTGTAATGCTTATAATAACAAGGTTTGTAAACTTATATTGCTTAAAATTAATGTTACTAGTAATACGGATGATCTGCATGTTTGCAGCTTACTTTTAGAAAATCAAATAAAATTTGCGGTCATGTGTTAAGCTTAGGTTTCCTTTGCCCTCCGACCTGAGTGCTTAGAAGGAATGCATAAACAAACAAATTATATTAAGTGTACATGGGTTCCCATAATATCGAGGAGTGGCATGTTTAGCCTATTTAAACCATCCTTAACAGTAAAAGGAAAGAAGGAGAGAAAAAAAAAGAAAAAAAAGGTTAGTCACTTCGCTGGAGGGGGCGATATGAAGCCTGCGTGGAGTTCCCAGCCTCCCAGGTGGTATATCCACGAGCTTCCCTCCGGTATAGCTGTAATATGCGTTCAGGGAGCCAGCTGTTCCCATCCGAGTCCCCCTGGCATCCCCGGTCACGGCTGGCCCCTCTCCCCCCCCCCCTCAGGGCCTGCGTCCAAACCTGCGGTAAGTTCCACCGCGCTGTGGGCACTCGGAGACCGCAGCTGTCTGGCACCCCCCCCCCGCAGGGTCTGCCAGGGCTCCAGCCTCCTGCACCTCCCCAGCTACAGCAGAGTCTCCCTGGAGCTCCAGTCCCGTCCTGCCTCGCCCGCTTCCGGTCTCATACATGGCGCCGGTACGCGGTCCCCCGGCCACCGGTCCGCCGACGGGTCCGCGCACTCCAGCGCCACAGGGCTCACAGATTTGGGGGCATATTCTCCGGACCACCACCAAATCCGAAGATCAGGGCCGGCTCCGCGCCGATCAGTCCGCCGCCTGAGGGGGTTCAGTCGTGGGGTCCCCCATTCCGGGGGCCGGGCAACCCAGCTTGGGCTTCTGCCTCGTGTGCGCAGGGCGCCCCTCATTGCTGTGCTAGTGTGGCTTGTCGGCCATTTTGGCTCCATCAGGGAGGACATCGTGTGTCGAATATTCCCCCACCTCCAGCTCCAAAGCTTGGACTCTTATGCTGGGATCACCCCCCCAGCCGGGAGGGGGGGGGAGGGGAGCGGAGCCGGACCGGAATCTCTTGCAGTTCCCTTTTAAGTTGCGGTCCCCGCTCATGCAGCGTGTCACAGGTCTCTGGGGCTTGTTGTGCTTCATTTGTGTTCCTTGCCAGGTTAGTGTCACAGCACTGTGTTCCCGGGTTCATCACCTCCTGACTGTCCGTCTTTTTGTCAGTATTTCGTGGGTTTTTTGCGTATTTTATGCCGCTTAATGCGGGAGCCGGTGAGGATGGCTGCCGCTTGGCTCGGCGGTCCGGCCCCGCCCCCCTTGACCACGTTTTGTATTGAAACTAGTTTACCAAATACTTATTAAAAGTTAACTTTTTTATATTTTCTCTACTTGTGACAACTGATAATATTAATTTAGGAAGACACCTATTGGTAGTTATTTTCTTTTTTTTCTATTCTATAATTAACCATTTAGGGGTTACCCCCCATTTTTTGCATTATCTACCAGTACTTAATCTCATTAGGCTCAATTTTTCTTTCTTGTTAGAATGGGACCATTTGTATATTGGTTGTTAATGAGCATTTGGTGTTGTGATTTTTCTCCTCGGATCGTGGTAGGATTGGAAATAGTACACTCCTGCATTCATGCGCACAAACACTAGCTCTCCATGCACATGCTTGAAATCATTCTCGCATATAGACAATTAGATTTTGCCACGCTTATACATGCCACTTCATTTACTAAACCTTTACATACATGCCACACGTCTGCTGCTGCAGTCTTACACATATTGGCACAGCTGTGTCAAAATGTGGAAAATAAAATTAATTGTGTAAATTATTTCTGGAAATCAACATTTTATACCTGGAGTAAGTTATACAGCACACTTATACTATATTAGACTATAAACCACTCTGGAGACACAGGAAAGTGCTGGCGCCATCCCTCTGTTCTGTGTTAAACAGTTTTCAATGGTTTAACACTGAATGCGTGTCCCCAATTGACCCCAGCCCATCTCTGCTTCTCAGTGTGCTTCCACGTTAGTTTTAGCAGTAGTAGGCCGCAGCATTGCTTGTCTGAAAGTGCCAGCTTACTATTTTCAGCGCATCACACACATAAGTGTGTCGATCAGGTGAATGGAGGCAAGTGGGCGGCGGTGCCCTTCCCTCGAGCAGTGCCCTTCTGTGATGCCACGAGCCAGGATCACTAAACACAGAGGGCAGAGCAGGAAGATTAGAGTAACCACACTGGACTCCAGGGAGAGGATCCACTCCAGCTCCTCCCAAAGGTAGGGAGGCTGGGTGGATGGATGTAAAATAAAATAACACCATTTTTGAGTGTGTGAGATGTGTGTGTCTGGTTAGGTAACTGATCCCCCTCTTACCATATAGGAAAGGTGTTTTTACTCTCCCTTTTATTTTCCCCTACACCGAGCCGGTCTCTATGCGGCTGACCTTGCTTCTATGTATTAATCTCTATGTATAAATTGGGAAGCTATTGCACATGCACAGCAAAGTACCACACTGCGCCAATCAGCATCTCCTAATAGAGATTCACTGAATCAGTACATCTCTATGGAAAACGTTCAGAGCCTCCATGTAGAGCGTGGAGACTCAGAAAGTACTGCACACTGTGCAGCAGTGACACAGAAAGCGCCTCTAGTGGCCGTCTGAGTGACTGCCACTAGAGGTGTTCCTAGTTCGTAATGTAAACACTGCATTGTTTAAAAAGCCTGCAGGGATAGGGAGTGGACATCAAAACTACTACATTAAAGGACCACTCTAGGCACCCAGACCACTTCAGCTTAATGAAGTGGTCTGGGTGCCAGGTCCAGCTAGGGTTAACCCATTTTTTCATAAACATAGCAGTTTCAGAGAACTGCTATGTTTATGAATGGGTTAAGCCTTCCTCTATTTCCTCTAGCGGCTGTCTCATTGACAGCCGCTAGAGGCGCTTGCGTGCTTCTCACTGTGATTTTCACAGTGAGAGCACGCCAGCGTCCATAGGAAAGCATTGTAAATGCTTTCCTATGCGACCGGCTGAATGCGCGCGCAGCTCTTGCTGCGCATCCGCATTCAGCCCAGGAGGAGGAACGGAGGAGGAGAGAAGGAGGAGAGCTCCCCACCCAGCACTGGAAAAAGGTAAGTTTTAACCCCTTTCCCCTTCCAGAGCCGGGCGGGAGGGGGTCCCTGAGGGTGGGGGCACCCTCAGGGCACTATAGTGCCAGGAAAACGAGTATGTTTTCCTGGCACTATAGTGGTCCTTTAAGCTGTAGTTGTTCTCGTGACTATAGTGCAGGAAGACCAGACTGGAAGCAGAGTAGGTGGCTGCATGGAAAAGGAGTCTGGGTGCTGGTTAAATATTATTGTGGAAGTGATAGTTTCTCTTTACACTATAGTGTTTTGGTGCTTAAAGTATCTCTGTCTTTAGATTGGTAATGTGATATTCTCACAGGTACTTTATAGCTCACAATGCTGTGATGCATTGCTGCTTATGCCGTAACATTTTCATATTGCTGTTTCATTCTGATCTGCAAAAGGAGTTGAAGGTCATTGCAGCAGAAGGATGAGGGACAATTTGCATGTGCATAGTGGACATATGATGGTCATTTGCTTTGATTCTTTGCTTTGTTTATTAATGTAAATGGGTTTTATATAAATGATCTTACTACTGACCATTAACATAGCAATTTTTTTTACTTTATTTAAAGGGTCACTATAGTCACCAGAACAACCTGGCTTAATGAAGCAGTTTTGGTGTATAAACCATGCCCCTGCAGTCTCACTGCTTAATTCTCTGCCGTTTATGGATTAAATATTTCTGTTTATGCGGTCCTAGTTACAGCTTCTTGCATGTGACCCATACACTTCTAGTAATTAGTTGTCTAATGTTTACACTTCCTTTATTGCAAATTCTGTTTAAGTTAGAATTTCTTATTGTTAACAGCTTGCTAGACCCTGCAGGAGCCTCCTGTATGTAATTCAAGTTAAGTTTTACAGAGCAAGAGATAAAAATTAAACCATTTTGTTTCCATGATGGCTGTGTCAGTCACAGCCAAAGGTGGTGTGGCTAGGACTGCATGCACCAAAACAGTGATTAAACTCCTAAATGGCAGTGAATTGAGCAGTGAAACTTCAGAGGCAAAAATAGCTTCTTTAACTAAAGAAAAAAAAAAACGCCACCTCAAGCTCCCAAACAAATGCCTTGTTTGCCTCCTGTCCTGCGGCTGTCCTTTCCAGGCCCCCTTTCCCCCTTCCCCAAGGTGTTAACTAATAATATTTTAGCCAGGCGACAAGGAAGCGCTGTCCTTCCGCTCTTCTTGCTCTCTCACACTCTGTGAGTGAGTGTAGCTGTCAGTGTGTTTGAGTGAGTGAAAGTGTGTGTCTGTCAGTGTGTCAAATCAGTGAGGATGGGGGTGTCAGTGTGTCTGTTAGTGAAAGTGTCTGTGCCAATGACTGTATGTGTGTGTGCCATTGAGTGTATGTCAGTGCATGTATCAATGAGTGCCTGTGTCTGTCTGTCAAAAAGTGGCCTTGACACAAATTAGAAGGGGCAAATTTAGATTTGGGGGTGCCCGAATTTAGTTCTGCCTATGGCAGCACAAATCCAAAATACACCACTGATTGGCCTCCTTGATTTGTTAGGTATATAAGCAAAGAATAAAAGTAGTTTGTATTTGTAATAGTTTTCTGACTTGTAAACTTTAAAGAGTTACTCCGAGCACAATGATCACTTTAGTGATTTGGCCTATAGTGTTTTCACTTTGAAAAAATTGAGCTTTAACTCCTTATGACAGATTTATCTACCATGAAATTGTTTTTTTTTATTTTCTATGTAGGTGCTGATCTTGTACTTTCTGTTTTCTCACAGGTTATTATTTTCTGTTCTGTGCTATGCTGAAGATGTCCCATGGCCACATAACCCAGGAAACTCTAGAAATCATGAAAGAGTCGGAAAAGCGACTGGTTGAGGAATCGGTCAATAGAAGTAAGACTGTATCAAGTAAAGAGGAGCAAGAATCTGATGAGCCAAACTCACGACAAGAACCTCAGGTTATTTCATATTTTGTGTTAATTCCGGTTTCTACGTTAGTCATTCTAAAAAATCTGACTGTGTAACGGAGCATATAAATGTAGTTCAGATTTTTGTCCTTTATATGATATTTTTAATTATTCATACGATTTACATTTATCTTACATTTTTTTTATTTTTTTTATTTTATATAAATCTATTCCAATGATGCAGAGGCGGAATCCAAGCCACGGACATGCTAGGAAAAGAGCCAAGGTACACTTACATACAGCCCATTCCGCCCACATCTCAGAAACAGTCACTTGTTACTTGTACTCTCTCCAATCGAATTTCAGAAGGCATTAGAGCAGGGATAAGCAATACTTAGCCCAGTTTTGCTCAACCCTAACTCAAGAAAAGGCTTAACTTCTGTGTGTGTTTTGTTCTTATATGCCATTGTCAGTTGATCCAATTAAAACACCTGTCATTCTTAGCACTTTTGCTCTACTTGCGTTTGTGTCATGAACACTGACATTTATTGGGGCAATAATGAAATCTTGTAACTTTCAGTCACTCTATAACTTTAAAGTTACAGTTCTTACAATATTAATAGGTTAATATTTTAATGTAGGTTCCCTTAGTACAACTTCCATGATGCATTACCATTCTAAAGAATTGCAAATACCTGTGAGATTTCTAGTTCTCCAGCATTTGGGACCTACCTTTCGAGTATCTCTGTTTTCATTTTTAATACATTACAGAAACGCTATAGTATTATATTACAGGAGAGATTTTCTTCCTTTTAAATCGGTCAAAATACTTGCCAAATTTAATCGACCATAAAAATGAAGAAATATGATTCTGTACTACCACCCAGTGCACATCAAGTATGAGCCCATATAGATAATATTATTCATCTCATTAGACTTGGTTAACACAGACCAAAAAAAATGGTCTACCGGTTACCCTAAGCATGTCAGACTGTTGCACTTGGCCATAATGTTTTATTTGATCAAAAAAATCTACCCAAAAAGAGAAATTTGGGATTATTCTAGCTTTAGTGACTGAATAATCAAACTTTTATTAAAGACAGGAGGCCAATATTTGCTTTAACCTTCTTTACTGAACCTCCCAGCAGCAAAGAAATAGTTAAACATGTAGAGAGAAAAATCAACCAATCAGGACATATATTAGAACATGACAGTCCGTCAGGCTCCTCCCAAATCCTCTTTCTGATGCAGCCGATCATAAGTGTAGTCAACCGTGTAAACTTGAGTAATCCATCAACCATGTAAACCAGAACGCAGCCGATACTAGAGACCAATGTAACGTAGTCTTCGTGGCTCATGCAGAGAAACTTCACACTAAAAGACAGAGAAAGATCGTAAAAGTATGGTCACTTGGACTGGGTGTCCGCAAGATATCTACATACACAGATCTACCCCCTGGATATTATGAGTATAAACTATTGCAAAATCTAAAACAGTCAGAACCAGGCAGATTAATAAGCACCTAACTAGAGCAAACAGAAAAAACAGCCAGATTAATATAAAGTCTCACAAGAAACCTAGAAAAAATGAAGAGTATATGTGACCTGAAAAAAAAAATCTGGGGTGGGATACCAAAAGGGTGGGAAAATATTCGCCTCCTGTCTTTAATAAATTTTAGATTATTCAGTCACTAAAGCTAGAATAATCCCGAATTTTATGGCAAGACAGGAGGCTTCATATTTGCTGTTTTAAAGTGTGGAAACCAAAGAGAAAAAAACATGGGCCGATTGTCGAAAATAAAAGGTACAGAAGGTAGATTCTCTACACCAATCAGCGCATTTTAGGATGTCTGCAAGGGATCCCCCAGCCATAAAGGCGGAAGAGGCAGTAGCACCTCTGACAGAATGAGCTCCAAAAGAGCAATCTATGCCCGCTAAATCGGGAAGCCATTTAATCCAGCGGGCAATCGTGGGACAAGACACTGGCTTGTGTGGTCACACATATGAGATAAACAGGGGGTACGTAGAGGTGATGTAGATGCGACGTAGTGTTGGACACAACGAGCAACGCAGAGCGACGGTCTGTCAGAAAAATAAGGGTAAGTAATTGTGAAGGAATTGTTTTTAGTGCGGTGAGAAATGTTGAAACGTACACCTTGGGGCGTGAAATCAATAGCGTGAAAGTCAAATGCCTGAATATCAGACACTCTTCTAAAAGAAACTAAGCAGAAAAGGAGATGCTAATTTGGCTGACAGTTGTTGTAGAGAGTGCTTCATTGGGTGGCCAAGTCTCCAGGAAGGACAAAACAAGAGCAACATCCCCAAAATGAGAGTATTTTGGGACAGGAGGTCGAGCAAGACGAATGCCACGCAACAGTCTACAGATGGAGGGGTGTTTACCTATTGCTGTATTATCAATGGGGCCATGAGCTGCCGAAATTGCTGAACGAAACACATTTATGGATCTGTAGGATTTACCTTGATCAAAAAGAGAGGACAGAACGTTCATAACGTTAATCAAAGAAGCTGAAACGGGATCAATACCCCTTTCCAAACACCAGCAATGCCAAACTCGCCAGTCTGAGAGGTAAGAGCTTCTAGTCCCTGGGGCCCATGAGTCCCATAAAAGTTCTCTAGCAGTCTTTGCAAGTCCTGCGGCATTCCAGGATCCCCTGAAACAGTTCAGGCCACTAGCTGGAGATGACCCTGCAACACGAGAGGGTGAAAGTTGCCTGCGGGATCTTTGAGAAGATCGTGCGTGGCAGGTAGCAGTAGTGGATAATACACAGACATCTCCAAGAGATTGGGGAACCATGGTTGGGTACGCCACAAAGGGGTCAGCAGTGTTATTGTGGTCCCCTGAGTCCTGAGATGATGGAGAGTGCGAAGGATCATGTAGAACGGAGGGAAGGCATAAGCTCCAGTCATTGGCCAAGATTGAAGGAAGGCGTCTACTGCCAGAGAGGTCGGATCCGGCAACCAACTGAAAAAAGCGTCAGTCTGTCGATTCAGACGAGACGCAAATAGATCGAGGTTGAATGGACCCCGAAGAAGATGGAGACAGTAAAAAAAGTGTGGATCCAATTGCCAGTCGCTGGAGTCTCTCCAGTGTCGAGAGAACCAATCTGCGACTAAGTTGTCGGAACCAGGTAGATATTCTGCTCGAAGGGAGATGTTCCTGTTTAGACAAAATTGGTATAATTCTTTTGTGAGGTCTGAGAGCATTTTGGAACGGGATCCCCCTAAGCGATTCACGTATTGAACAGCTGAGATGTTGTCCATTCTCAGCACTAGGGAACAATTGTAAGAGTCCTTTGCGAAACTGCGAATCGCAAAGGAACCGGCAATCAACTCGAGGCAATTGATGTGCAGTGCCCGTTCTGATGGGGGCCAAGGACCTCCAGTAGAGAGATTTGCGCATGATGCACCCCAGCCCAGAAGACAGGCATCTGATTCTAGGATGTAATCTGGCTTTGATCCGAAGATTGTTCTCCCGTTCCATGCATCCATATGGTGTAGCCACAAATTCAGTTCGAATCGGACTTCGTCTATCAAGGAGATCTGTTGATCGTAAGAGGCAGTGTGACATAAAGAGCGGGTCTTCAGACGTTTCATTGCACGGTAATGTAAAGGAGCTGGGAAGATCGCCTGAATAGAGGCGGAGAGTAGTCAGATTATGCGAGCGAAGACGGATAATCAAAGAGGCTAGAATTTTTCTGATGTCTTTTTTGATGTTCTTGAGCTTTACTGAAGGGAGTTGTAGGATAGCCTATACGGAATCTATTTGGAATCCAAGGAATTGAACCATCTGAGACAGGGTGAGAACGGATTTTTGAACATTGATCACGAACCCCAAGTTTTGTAACAGAGCTGTGGTCATGTCTGTGTGGAGGCGTAGAGTGCCTGGGTCCCGAGCCATAAGGATGTTATTGTCCAGATATATGATGGAGTGAATCTCCTGAGAGCGTAGCAAGGCCATGACCGGTTTCGTCAGCTTGGTGAAACACCAAGGTGCGGAACAGAGTCCGAAGGGGAGGCATGTGAACTGCCATAAGTCTTGATGCCATCTGAACTGTAGGAAACAGTGATGGGCCGGTGTTATAGGAACCGTGAGGTAAGCATCTGTCAAGTCCAAACGGGAGAACCAGTCTCCCTCGCAGAGTAGGTCTCGAAGGCGCTGGATACCCTCCATTTTGAAATGTTGGTAAACAATAAAATTGTTTAGGTCTTTCAGGTTGATAACTGGTCGAAAGTCTCCTGACTGTTTTCGGACCAGAAATATGTTGCTTATGAATCTGTGAGGGGACAGAGAACGTTCTGTAGCGCCCTTGGTGACAAGGTCGTTTAGCACGGCCTCCAAAGTCGCATTGTCCTCATGAGACATGTGCAGAGGTGGAGGGGGAGACTCCTATAGAGGGTCGTTTGCAAAATCTATATGGAAACCAGATACAGTTTGAAGGATCCATGGATCCTGAGTTAATAGAGACCACTGTTGGGGAAAAAAGGGTTAACCGGCCTGCAATAGGAATTTGAGTCGATTACCTGAAGCAGTGCAGGTACTGTATGAACCTGTCCCCAAATAACAGTCCGTTAGCCTCTGGACCAAGTTCTTTGGTACCTAATTCTGCCAATTTGGCGTCAATTTTATATAATACGGCTTTACGCCATTCAAAGAAATAGCTACATTAGTGTTGCCCAACAGGCATAACGCTCTTTGTGGCCATTCACGCACCATGTGTGCGTCAAAATTGCCATCTGCTAGCGTCTCGTCAGCGATTATAAAAAATCTGGATAAGCGGTCCTGCTATATCCTTCAGCTTGTCTTGGGTGGCTTTTAAGCCAACTTCGATTCCTTTGCGGGGATCTTTACCCGTCTTAGTTAGAAAAGTGACCAGGAGTGGGTCAAGTTCAGGGGTGACAGCCACCTTATTTTATAGGCCGTGGACATTCTGCTTTTAATTTGGCTCTAATCTCCTTTTCTAAAGGTTTACGAAGCCATAATCTGCAATATTTGTCAATGTGATCAGGGGGTGTCCATTCTGCTGAACGAGGATGTCTGATGCAGCGTGGGTCAAATGGAGGACAACCATTGGTATCCAGTAGGATATCGTCCTTAGTATTGTCTAAATCAGTAGTGGACATAGGATCAGTGTCCTGAAAGGACTGGTTTTGGGGTTGGAGAAAAGTCTCCGTAACAAATTCAGAAGAGGAAGGATCACCTGGGAGATCCTCATCTGGATATGCATTGTATTCGTCTATCACTCGAAGGTGATAGCCAGAGGTTGAACCCTTTAACCCCTTCATGACGGAGTCAATAGTTCACCGCTGTCACATTAAGTGCACCCACACTTATTATAAATCATTTTGTTCAGGAGAAACAGGGCTTTAATTTATCATTAACTATTCATATATGGAACATAATTTATTATGAATAAAATTTAAAAAAATGTGAGATGATTTTTTTTTTTTTTTTACATTTGTATTTCCGTCTGACATTTTAGCTGTGAATGTCATAATACTGTTAGGTTTTACTGCAAAAAAATGCACATATTTTTAATCAGTGATGTCCCACGAGTACAACAGTACCCCCCATTAACAGGTTTTATGGTGTTTTGGAAAGTTACAGGGTCAAATATAGAACATTCCATTTTCAAATTGAAATTTGCCAGATTAGTAATGTTACCTTTGAGACGGTGTGGTAGCCCAGGAATGAGAATTACCCCCATAATGGCATACCATTTGAAAAAGTAGACAACCCAAGGTATTGAAAGTGGGGTATGTTTAGTCTTTTTTAGTAGCCACTTAGTCACAAACACTGGCCAAAGTTAGCGTTCATATTTGTTTTTGTGTGGGAAAAAAAGCAAAAAACGAATATTTGGCCAGTGTTTGTGACTAAGCGGCTACTAAGAAAGGCTGGACATACCCCACTTGCAATACCTTGGGTTGTCTACTTTTGCAAATGTGTTTACCATCATAGGGGTAATTCTCATTCCTGGGCTACCATACGCTCTCAAAGGCATCATAACCAATCTGGCAAATTTCAATGTCAAAAAAATGAAATGCAAGCCTTATATGTGACTCTCTAACTTTCCAAAACACCATAAAACCTGTACATGGGGGTACTGTTATTCTCGGGAGACTTCACTAAACACAAATATTAGTGTTTTAAACCAGTAAAACATATTACAACATATTAAAAGTGCCGTTCGTTTGTAAAAAAAAATGCAAAAAAAGTCACTTTTACTTAAAATATCATCGTTGTAATACAATTTATCATTTTGAAACACTAATATTTGAGTTCAGCGAAGTCTCCCGAGTAAAACCGTACCCCCTATGTACAGGTTTTATGGTGTCTTGGAGAGTTACAGGGTCAAATATAGTGCTTGCAAATTAAATTCTCTGCACTTTCTCCCTGTGTTGTCAGGCATGTCAATCAAATTTTAATTAATCAAATCACATAATTATGTTAAAAGATTACTTAAATATACACGTAGAATTTTAATATATATGCATTTATAGGTATTTAAATTCTACGTGTATACTAATGTAATCTTTTATGTAATTATTTGAATTTATATATATATATATTTTTGCGGTTATTTGTATTTTATATATAAATAGATATATATACAATGTCATTTTAAGTGTATTTTGTTACCTTATATATTAACAAAATACAGTTAGAATGAAATTACATATGAATATATAATTTATATTAAATCTTGTTTCAATATTTTATTTATTGTAATTAAATGTATATATAATATGTGTATTTATCTATTATATATAATATATATACATATTCTATATGTAACGTCATTCTAAGTGTATTTTAATACTAATATATGTACTTATATTAATATTAAAATACATTACGTATGACATTACATATATATAATATGTATATGTAATATATATATACATATATTTATTTTATTTTATAACCTGTTTAATTCTTTTTTTTTTTTTACACTTTGCACCAGCAGAGGGACTGTCTGACATTTCAGACAGTCCCCCTGCTGGCAGATCCACAGCCAGCTATAGGGGGCCATGTGATCGCTCTTTGAGAGTGATCAAATGGCCCCCGGGGGCCTCATTTGTCGTGGGAGGGCTGCCTGGGCTGTGAGGCAGTCCTCCTGAAGCGGAGCGCCGGCTAGGTAAGTATCCCGGGCACTCCAGGGCTCAAAGCCGTTATGGCGTTCTATGCCGCCGCCGCAACGTCTTTAAAGCCCAATTAAAGTGGAACGGCATAGAACGCCGTAACGGCGTGAAGGGGTTATGGGGTCAGATTCTGAAGTCAAAGTGGGTTTGGCATGAGACAATTTAGCTCTCTTTGCTGGGGCTTTGCCTTTGCCAGCAGAAGCACTGTTACCCTTCCAAGGGTACTTACGTGGGGCTTCGTCATGGTCAGAGACCCTGGAATCATCCGGGCCTGACAATTGCGTGATGGTGGCAGTAGTGGCTGTCTGGTCACGAAACGTTGCCAAGGCTTTGGGGATAGAGTCTGCAATTGCAGCTTGAAGCCAGGCTTTTAATTCTGCTGACAGTGCAGGTCCTGGTTGGTCCGACATGATGACCAGTAAAATAGTAGTGGGTTCACCACAGAATCAGTATACTAACAGGTATATATAACAACTTTTATTTAGTTATTTTTTTGTATTTATTTATTATTATTAATATATATATATATATATATATATATGTGTATATATATAAACAAACTTGTCACAAACAAAGTAAAAGCAGGGGCTGTCTTATTGGGGTTCACCCAGACAATATGCAGTCACCTTTAAGGGGACTCAGTGGGGTTCATCCACAATTATGGCAGTTAAACTGTCAATATAATAATGACCGGGGTAACCTGTGCAATCAATAAAAATATATATAAGGGGTTCGCCCTGAGAGATAAGGCACAAGGGGATCACCCTCAATAAAAGAGGCAAGAGGAGGTCACCCTCTAATAGGCATAGAGCTGTTTTGTAAGTTTGAGAGCAATCTGAAAATAAAACACAAATAGGCTATGATAAGCAAGTGTTCTGTAATAGTTTAAGAGTAACAACAAAATGTACCAGCAGGGGGCAATGAATACTCACAGTTTAACAGAGCTGCAATCCAGTAGCAGAGAGCAGTTCCTGAAAAGCGCGCAAACGGGAAATCTAACCGCCGAACAGAAGATGGCCGCCGGCAAGAAGGAGGAAGGCGTGAAAACTGCGTGTCAATCAAGGACGCGAAAAAAACGTGCGGTACAGAAATAGATCGCGGGCGTGATCAAAACGGACCGCAGCCACTGCAGTGGTGCTGTCTGAAGATAATTTCGTCAAGGAAAAAGATTAGTAAGGTATTACTTTAGAAATAAATAGTCAGAGATAAATAAAGTCACAGGGAAGGGACTGGACAGTGGGCTGACCTGAGAAGGGTCATTGTGATAAAGGGCACAGATAAAATAAACACACACATTACCTCATGGGAGTAAAACAGACAAGGCAAGCAGCAAAGAAAGAGGATTTGGGAGGAGCCTGACAGACTGTTATGTTCTAATGTGTCCTGATTGGTTGATTTTTTTTTTCTCTATTTGTTTAACTATTTCTTTGCTGCTGGGAGGTTCAGTAAAGAAGGTTAAAGCAAATATGAAGCCTCCTGTCTTGCCCTAAAATTAACATTATAATCACTGCTTTATTTCATCCTTCAAAAAAAATAAAAAATACTTCTGTAGAGCAGGGCGTCAAAGATGGCTGGCTTGGCAGAAAAAAAAGCCATAGACATGTGAATTGCACTTACTCAAAGGCCTTAACGGTAGAAATCCAACATTCAAAGTTCATATTGGTATCCAAAATTGGCAGTGTATTCAGCAATTATATTAAAAAAAAAAAAAAAAAAAAGTTTTCTCTAATTTGTACATATGATGTATGCATCACCCAAATACTGAGTCAGAAAAGTTTCAGGGTGTGAGAATAATTAGAATTGTAATTTTGACTTCAGTTTAAATTAATGATGTAGGTGAATGCAGCCGTTATTGGTAGTAATCACAATTCCATTTGAATCTAAACACATGAGTTTGTCTAGTAGAAGTTAATAAATGAATGCCTGCTTTGACATATTTTTCCACTTTACATCTTTACTTTGTAAAGCTATTTGTCATAGCTATCACATGCTAATTTTACCTTGCCCATTTTTTTTTTTTTGCCAATATGGCATAATATTCTTCTCATGTATGGACTTTGTTGCATATATTTTTCCAATAATACTTATAGAGCTCACTTGTAGATTCCAGAACTATATATCCCAAAGGCCCTACAATCTAATCCAGGAGAATGCATAACATTTTAAAGGGAACCTTTTGGTTTGTGAAACACATATCTTTTCTATACCTGTTAAAGATCCCCTTTGTGTAATGTTTATTGGGTATGCCTGCAGCTTCATTTAGACTTTCCAAACCATGAAGGATATTTTTTCTTAAAGTCACAGCAGGGGTTTAAGTTATAAGTGATTTATCATCAAGAGCCGTTCCATTCATCTCATGAAACCGTGGAACTTTTCTGTAAATTGATAACAATTTTACCACTGCTGCTATAATTTTACACATAGCTACACAACACACAGAACTTGTATAAAATTTAAACAGCCAGTCAAACAAAACTATATCGCTGATCTGGTACCCTTACAGGATGAAATGCTATACAGTTCAGGTGCTTCCACTATAACCACTTCAGTTAAAGTGGTTATAATGATTAGATTAATCTCTTAAAGGGACACTATAGGCACCAGAACAACTACAGCTTAATGTAATTGTTTTGGTGAGTATAATCATTTACCTTCAGGCATTTCCATGCAAACACTGCCGTTTCAGAGAAAAGGCAGTGTTTACATTTCCCCCTAGGGAAAGCTCCACTCCTCAGATTGCCACTGGCGGTGCTTCCTGGGGCAGTGCTGCAGGCTCTGCATGGAGATGTTGCGTTTTCCTCGTAGATACATTGATTCAATGCATCTCTATGAGGAGGTGCTGATTGTCAAAAAGGGCATTTGGCCCTGCCCCCATCCCACCTCCTTGCTGATTTCAGCCATTCCAATGCTTTCCCTATGGAAATCAGGTGAATTAAAATGTTCTAGGTGGGGAATGGTAAATTACACACTATACGGTGAGGAATAAATGTTTGTGTTCCTGACCCTATAGTGTTCCTTTAACTAAGTTGTACTTGGTGGATAGCCCTGGATTTAAGTGTATGGTTGACTTGTGAGCATTGGGGTAAAGCACGGTAGTTCAACATGTGCCACATTAGTTCTCTTTTCTTATAATTTTTTTCATACGGTAAAATATTTTCTTTATTCCTTAGTCTAACTCAAAGTTAAAGCTGGTCAGAGGCTTAGCTGTTTGTGAAGAATCAACTGGACCATTTGTGGATGGACCTTTAGAGCCTCAGGTAAATTTTAAACTTAAAGTAGACTTACTCTCTGTAAAAGAAAGGTCACCTTCAAACATTTATGCATGTAATCCATGTAGCAAGGCCCAAAATTTCCACTACCCATTGGCAAAAAATTCAGCCTTGGCAAGTAGACACTTACCACTGGTGAGTGTGCTATGGAACCTGCAGGCTTGGAGTGGTGAGTAACATTTCAGGCCTGGCTAGTAGCACAGGACTTGAAATGTTAAGCTCTGCATTTAGTGTTACATACAGCCCATTCCGCCCAGATCTCAGAAACAGTTACTTGTTAGTTTTGCATTCAGTGTGGGCTTAGTGGTGCCCTATTTCCAGCCCAGCATGGTTTCATAAATATGAGAAATGAAGATTGTGGATTTGGTTCTCTGAAGCACTGCAAATGTAAAAGGTTTTTTTTTGTCTCTGAAATAAATCTTTGGGGCATCTATGGAGTAAGCAATGTTTAATTTGTAATCGCTCGCTTCAGTTGAACCGAACATCCTTAGTGCCCTCTTTGTGTTTTTTATACTCAGTCAGGTCTGCCTTTTCAATGTCCATAATTACTAACTGTTAACTGAAATCACGCTGTCTGCTCCGGTCATTAAATCTTTTTCATTAATGTTTGAGTATATTCTAATTTATTTTATTTTTTTTCAGGATGTTATTCATTTGCATATCAGCTGTCCATCTGATAAGGAGGAGAAAAATGGCAAAGATGAGAAGGAAGATAAAAGTAAAGAAAAGGGGCCAAAGAAAATGTTGTCCAGAGGTTTGTAGACCGCTTTCCAGAAATATAATTTCAAACTGCACATAACCTTTGAAGGTTCATATTTTAGTTTTTAGCATATTAAGCTATTCTTTTCATTGAATTCTTATAGATTCTAGCCAAGAATACACGGATTCTACGGGAATTGATGTACATGAATTTCTAGTGAACACACTGAAGAATAACCCAAGGTAATACATTAAATTCTCATTGATGTGAACCCTCTTGGCTTCGTTTTGTTACTGTAAACTAGATGTTTTATGAAATTGAGTTTGTTCATGAGCTATTATTTTTATTTTATTTAATATCTTGTGGAGCTCAAATACCATTTAGAAGCATAGTTTGCTTGATGAACATTGAAGGACAGATGCAATATTTTAGACTCTATTGGTGTATTTTGAAGCTTTTATATAAACCCTGCTGTCCCATATCTGGCCCATGGCTTCATTTATACTTGAAAAGCTTGTAGTAAATGTTTAACGTGCTGTGCCTACACAATAGTATTTTAAAGTAAAAGTAAACTTTTCATTGCAATATCGCTTCTTGAGTAAGTAAAAAAAAAAAAAAAAAAAAGAAGTTTAAAATAATTTTGTGGGCTAAGCAATGAATAATGGGTCTTTAGCTTTGCAAATATGGATACCCCTACTACTTTTTGAGTTCAGACATTTCAGCCTTATCCATTGATGGGTGCATACAATCCAGCACATTGCCAATATTAGTCAATTGGGATGTCATGGCTGTGTTATGGGTATTACTAAAGAGCTCAGTGACTTTAAGTACAGCACTGTCAAAGGATGACACATTTAAATCAAATCAAGTTTGTGAAATTTCAGCCCTTCTAGATCTCCCCTTGTCAATTATTAGAGATATTATTGTGAAGTGAAAGTATCTAAGAACAGCCCAGCCATGAAATATTAGACCACATAGATTCACAGTTTCAAACTGCCTCTTAACTCAAAATGTGCTTGTATGTTCTATTTCTCTCATTGGGTGATTTTGGTAGGGGGAGGCTGTGTTGGGTACCGCAGGCTCTACTTTGGGATTGTTCCACTGGAAAAAGTTTTACCTGCTGAAAAAAAGCTTCACATCAAGAATCTCCCAACCCATATCTTCTGAGATGATGTTGTTCTGGTGGAGGGAGTTTTCCTTTAATCCTTGGAATCTTGTCTCTGTCATTGTGCACTTTTATAGCTGCCCCTAAATCTGCTACTTAAAGTGAACCTCTTATGACAGGTCCAATTTGAAGGCATTCTTTCAGCAACAAAACCACTAAATCTTAATGTAGTGGTTTTGGTATGAGGACACTTGTCCCTGTAATGCAAAATGACGATTGTAATCATTGCCGTTGTGAAAAAAATGCAATGTTTAAATTTATCACTACGGGTGCCTCTAGTGGCTGTCTGAGATATTTAATTGTGAATTCTTTTAGTTTTTGCACACATTCGCTAAATGCCATCATATCGTGTCACTTAAAATATATATTTTTATTAATGTGCATAAAGTTTTGCCAATTTATTATAGGCAATCTGTATTGCTTCCTCAGCCACTTGTACTGTATTGCTTGACTCTGCCACTTATTGATATTATAATATAGGTAGAATTTATCATGCTAAGATTGAACTGGTGGTTCCACTTAGCAGTTACCGCTTGGGGCAGGCTCTGTTTGCCTCTAGAAAAGCCTATTTTGCCAAATTGCTCAAACCGTTTCATCAAGACCCATGTCAATTTATTTTGCTTAATTTGCTTCATATATTATGCTGTTTTATGTTGTGTGTGCTTGAAACTTTGTGTTTAGTGTTAAAATACCAAAATGTAATTTTGTATGATGTTTTATTCATCTATGATTATGTTGTATAGTGTTTTTCATGAGTACCACATGAACCGAAGTAGCTTTTTTTTCGACTGATACCAAATGTTTTTAAATTTATTACCAGGTTTAGTAACCATGTGCCATTTTTGTAGGGACAGAATGATGCTGCTAAAATTAGAACAAGAAATTCTTGAATTTATTAATGACAATAGGTAAGTCCCCATCAAGATGTGTAGTGAAATCTGACATGAGTACTCCAATATTGTCTTGCTATTTTTTCCTTCTCACAACAGATTATAGTGTAAGTATTTTATCAATACAACTCCACCTTGTAAAAAATAATCCAGTTTGTAGCAAGTCATACAATTTGACAATTAATCCTAATATGTAATTAAGTGAATTAACTGAACAGTGGCAAATAGTGACTTCAATTAGATAATTTACTGAAGCTGAAATGAAGCACACTCACGCTCTACCCTGTGTTGGATTCTCCCTGACGTTTAAAGGTCTTAACTGTAAAATAAATATCTGTATGTGTGTGTGTAACTTGTCTATTAACCACTCACCACTGCTTTACATGCTATCTTAAAGGAACACTTTTTTGCTTGCGGTAGTGCTGTATATGTGAAACATATGTTCTTTATTTTTTTCTCCATTTTATAAAAAAGCTGAACTTTTTAATACAAATCTGCTTTTTTTTATAAATAAACATTTAGACCTTCTCAGCTGTTAATCAGACTTCCTGCAATACAGACAGCAAATATAGGAATTGTTGTATGGTGAAATGCCCAGAGCACCTGCTTTTCTCAAACAGTGCAAATAGTCTTATAATAAGCTTTTAGTAAGTGACAGCCGTCCTATTCTACCATCTATTCTAGGATAACATTACAAAACAATCATTGTATAATATATTGTGCATAAACATATAGTGTGTGTTCATATTTTGAACCTACAAGTGTTTTTTTGTTTTGGTGAAAGCCTTATTTTCCGTCTCAAGTTACTGTATCTATTTCTGTATCTCTTTTTCCATCTAGCAATCAGTTTAAGAAGTTTCCACAGATGACCTCATATCACAGAATGCTTTTACACCGTGCTGCTGCATACTTTGGCATGGATCATAATGTAGATCAAACGGGCAAAGCCGTGATCATCAATAAAACCAGTAACACGCGAATGTAAGCTTCAACCCAAGGCTACCTTTTTTTTTTTGTTTAGGCACTTGTAACTTATTTTATCGTTTTGTTTAATTTCTATTTAAAATACCTCTTTGCTCATCTTTTTTTTTTCCACAGCATTAGCTTATATGTGGATTAATGGAATTAAGTATGTTTCTAAAAAAGACTATAATAATCTTCTGAAAACATGCTGCTCTTTGTCATTTCCAAATACAAACCTGGTACAAATACCAGCAATTATACATTAGGTGTATGGTAGACTGAAACATGTTTTACAGGGCTTTCACCCTATTTATTGTGCAGTAATTCAAACCGTTTTTTCAGAGGCCCTTCTAATCTTCATATTATGTTTCTATAAACATTATACAATAAGGCGCCTTTGTTTTTTACAATTTGATAGAGAACCCTGCGCAGTAGGCTATAGCATTTTGTTTGTAATATGTAGAACTCATAAGTGGAAGCTTTGAAAGAAGAGAATTGCATACATTATATTTATGGAGTTATTTAGCTTTTGATATCACTATTTGAATTGTAATGTATGCATAGATATTGCATATGGCCTCTATTCATATGTAGCTATTTATTATTTAGAAACACATTATTATGACATATTTGTATCATTTATTTATTCATTTCGATAGTCTACTTTTTTTTTTTTTTTTATCATCTTTAAGTGAGTTTTTCTTTGCTGCATTGGGAAAGTGATAGCCTAAAGTTAGAATATTAGTCTTTATATATATATATATATATATATATATTAATGGCTGTTTTTGTGTGCCAAAAAATCCCCCAAACAAACTGTAGCTATGTAAATATGGTTCAGACATAATGGCTGTTTTTATGTGTTTTATATTTTTTTTCCCCGCTCTTCTATATTACAGCTTTATATTTGGTTAGTTACACCATAGATTTGTTTCATATGGCTTTTGTAGAGGTCTAAAAATTCCCATTGAGGGGGCGTGGCCAACCGAGCACCAGAGAAGACGTGTTTAAACAGAGCTCCGTCCCAGAATCTCAAAAAACCCGTTTTAAATACGGAAAACAGACTCCAAAACACGCTGAGCGACAACTACCCTCACTCAGAAGACACAATGGGGCGAAAAAACAGGAAACCTCATCTTCCAGAGGCACCAAAAATGCAGGATATCAGACTATCCTTTGAGAGGCCTACACCGCGGGGCCCAGCCAAAATGGCGCCCGACTTGCCTAGCGAGGATGAGGCACTAGAGAACTATCAGGAGGAGGAGGAAACCCCGGCCTCACAATCGGAGGGGACCCCCTCTAATGAGTCAGAGTCAGATGAAGACTCTTCGCCGGCAACAAAGAGAGACATTAAAAATCTCCTGCTGGACATGCGACGTGTGTGGAAAGCTGACCTCCTAGACACGCGCACGGAGATAGGGACCCTCAAACAACGGGTCACAGAGATCGAAACAAAAGAAGTAGCTAGGGACCAGAAAGTGCAGGACAACCACAACAATCTGCAAGAATTAACAGAGCAGGTACAGAAACTCACCAAGTCGATGTTAGTGATGGAGTCCAGGCACAGAAGGAGGAATATCCGCCTCCGCGGCATCCCAGAGCACGTCGACGGCGATGCAACAATGCCCTTCCTCCGACGCTTCATTGCCTCGCTGGGAATAGGAGGCAACACAGGCTCAGAGGCACTAACATCAGCATTCCGGGTCCGCAAAGCCGCAGCTGCCCCTACAGACGCACCAAGAGACATAATTGCCGCGACCAAGGACATTGCAGTTCGATCGGCGATTATGGCCAAATCAAGAGAGCTGGGAACCATACACTTCGAAGGCTATGACATAGCCATATACGGGGACATCCCTTTTGCCGTCCTCGCAGTCAAGAGACAGTTAACACCGGTGGCCAGACAGTTGAGAGAGGCGTTGATCAGATATCGGTGGGGGGTGGATGGCTCCCTGCAGGTAACACAAGGAAACGACGTACTCACCCTCTCTTCTCCTGAGGACAAAGAGACTTTCCTCCAAAGACTGAAACTGAACGCAAAGATCCCAGTGGAAGCCCAGAAGTCGAAAATAGATACACAGGGACCCAACAGAGTTCACCCATTAAACCCCCAGGCCAGACTCCTAGCCAAACCACGCCACTTGGAGACACACCACACTCATAGAGGCCCCCCGAGGTTACCTTACTAATAACTAGAAGCGAGACACACAATAGTTGCTCACACTTCATAAATACGTACCCATTTGATGCCTGGTAAGCAGCAGCTAAACCCTCTCAACGACCTAAACACAGAGATAACTTCCCATGATATAATGGAGGGGCCAAGCAGAGACCGCACTAGAGGTACTCCTGCTTTTCAACCCATATAGCTTAATATAAACAACACCACTCAGCGATCCAAATATCAGCCACTAGTGAACATGCTGTCCTATCGTTATTTCAGCTCATTAGAGTTGCTGTGTAAACTTTATAACTTTTCATATTGTGTACCAGATGTATTTTACATTGTGAAAACACCAATAAAATACAAATTTAAAAAAAAAAAAGATGAGAAAAATTAAACAGGAGATGGTTATCTTATCGATGATTTTAAAATTAAAGATATATTTGCCAAAAAAAATAAAAAATTCCCATTGAATTTGTCAGTATTATACTGGTTTTATATCCATTTTTAACATTTTCTTTTTGTAAGGCAATACTTCACAAGCCATTGTAGTAAACCATGTGTGCCACATACTAGATCAATATTATTTCTAGAAAGAGACTGATATTCGCTGTGATCCTGATATATATATATATATATATATATATGGAATAGGCATTTAATCAAGCTGTTAACTGGACTAGTCCTCAATAAAATGCACTAATAACTTTCAGATAAATTGTAAAATTGAATATATATATTATGCCATGAAGTTCTCCTGCACATATGTATATCTATCAGTATAGGTCTATTTTATAATCTGGCAGTATTTTCATTGGGAAGGTCATGTTTTCAAAATATGTAATAAAAAAATCAAATTCACAGTGTGATCCAACATTGTGGCACACAGTCTATCAATCTTGGGGTAGCAAAGCGCAAACTTCAGACGGCAAAAAAATAGCCTCCATTTGCTCATGCCATCATTAATTCTACCCTTCTGTTAATATTACTAATTTGCCAGGTGAGATGGACAGAGAGCGAGACCCTTTGTGTGTCTCTGTCCCCAGGTTCTTTTTTTGCAGTGTCACAAGAGGAACAGTTGCATCCAGAGATATATAATAGATGCTGTTCCTTCACATTGGCTAATGCTATTGCAGTAATTACTGGAATGAAAAACCTACCTCTGCTGTACTTCTACATTCTAGCAACTTCCCTTGATGCCTCTTAATAAAGAAATTACAAAAATGCATATGCACGCTCTACATTGTATCCAGGAAGGCTGTATGTCTGACAAATTTAAATCAAAATTAAAGAAAATAAATAATATATATTATTTAATACAATATATAATATTTGAGCTAATTTTCAGTTTCCATTTGGGTTTTGTTAAACCCAAATGCAATATAAGTGACATTTCATCTTAAAGGGGAAATTATAAAGACTGTTAGCAGCTGCTGCCCAGCAGCGTGACTCCTATCAATCTTGTGTAATGCATAAAATATGACACAGGTGTTTAGTTAAAATGTGATTTTATTCCCAACCAGGATACAACGATTCAGCTTTTTGAAGCTTTTATATGAACCACAACATTGCTGAATCCTGTTTGTCAAACAGTAATATGTCAAAATAACTTTTGCCACCAGATTGTATTGATGGCAAGTATAAAATTTGATAATTAGGTGCTTGGTGTTTCTGACTGATTTTTCTTTTTGATGTTACTTAATTACTTTTCTTACTGTCTGGCATCTGTTTTGCAAACTCTGTCTCACAATAGTCCTGAAGGAGGACTTTATAAAACTGAGCCAGAAAAATATTTTGCCTTACAGTATTTACCTGCTTGAATAGCATGTCTTATAATTGTGACAAACATTTGCTTTCAGTCCTGAACAGCGATTTTCAGAGCACATCAAAGATGAAAAGAGCTGTGACTTCCAACAAAGGTTTATCCTTAAAAGAGATGATGCCAGCATGGACAGGGATGATAATCAGGTAAGGTTTCTTGTATTTTTTCCCCCCATTAATTTGTAATATTACAATTGTTTTATTTACCGTTTTTATATCTGCTTTCGTTTCTGACTATTATAGATAATTATGATGTGTTGGATTTTATTTTTTTGCAATGAAGTGGATGTGGGTTTTTTCCCTCTTCATCTCTAGTGTCTAGGCACCTCCACACTTTCCACTGACAACATGTAAAAACAATAACTCTCCATTAAGCTGTCAGAGTACATGTATGGCATGATCACTGCATGCAGGAGCTGTGATCATGATCACTCAAACGCATAGCACGATCCCCAGCCCAGTACTGTGCAAGGTAATTGGATGGCTCCATTAGGTAGGTGGTACAGCCCAGCTTGATCAGTGAGGATAAACTCAGAAATGGCAAAGAATGAAAAGTTACATTTTCAGAGGCTGGTTCTAAGGACTGTTAAGTCTTGATAAGATGCTGACAATGTCCTAGTTAGGATAGACCTTACTTCAGACAAAAATAAATTTATTGTGGGCCACGATATTTGAGTTAATCAGAACCTCGGTGGACACTCTTTATCATTTGTGTTGGGAGGAGACTAAGTCAGTTTCACAATTAAAGCTTTACAATGTGTAGGAGCTGTCTACCTCTTTGTAACATGGTAGTATTTTATTTTTCCAAGCTTTATTGTTCCTTTCCACCTTCATTTTGCATATCTCCAGCATGGATCTCTTGAGATCTGAATAAACATTTAAAATCTAACACATAATATAGCATTAAATATCACTGCTATTCATAGCAACTTTTTATATATTTCTCTGTAAATCTAATGTAGATCAGAGTTCCGTTACAAGATGGAAGGCGGAGCAAGTCAATAGAAGAGCGCGAGGAAGAATATCAACGGGTACGGGAAAGGATTTTTGCACGAGAGGTAAGTGCCTTGAATGGTAATTTTTATATTATATTTGGGGGATAACTTTTTTCAATTTGTTATAACTATAGCAGGTTTTATTAAAATTCATTGTTGAAATATACACTGTGCAACACAAATATAACATGTATTTAAGCTGTAGTTGCAACCTGAAAAGTGCAGTGTGTTATCTAAGCAATTGGAAACCACCAGAGCAGCTATTTTTTGGAAAGATGCAAGTTCGTTCAAATATTTGATAACAACCATGCCACATCTGGAGCATTTAGTAAAGCATGTACTTTACAAGCAGTTTGATTAGCACATACCAGGCAATACATTTTAGGTGTGTTGGTGAAGAAAATAGATGGTGTGTGTTCTTAGACATTGTCACTAACAAGTCTCTGTTTCTCTTTTCCTTCCCATCAGTCTGCACAGAATGGCCATATTGTTGTTGATAGGTAAGTCAATATTTTCATACAATTCCAAATGTTTTTATTTTTCCTACAATTGAAAAAACTATTTTATTTAAAATTACAGAACTGGATTCTAACAAATTAAGTTGCTTCCTATTCTTAATATCACTAATTCAGAAAATAAAAATGATAATGCATAGTAAGTAATAAAGTTTAAAAAACTAAAACAAAAATACATTTTTGGGGGGATGATAAAAATGTCCATATATTAATTTGGCTAGTAAGCAGGGCAGGTGTCATTTTTATTTCCTGATAAAATTTAAAAGGGCAATATTTGCTAAATGTCTTTCCTCCTTCCTTCTTAATGTAACCAACAGAGTCTACAGAGAAGGCTTTACCTCTATCTCTCACAAAAGGAGACAATTGTTTAGGTACCTTCTATGTTATGTATTTGAAGTATCTTTATTTTTTTGTCAAGGTCATTGATACCTCTCTCCCCCTTGCATGGCTGCTAGTGCAGTTACTCTTGCAGTGTACATTGTTTGAAGTGTCACTTTCTGTTTGTGGCCAGGGATCCTTGCTGCATTTCTTCACAGCTTTTGTCAGAATCTGACTTTTGATGTCTGCTGTTAATTTTTTTTTTTTTTTTTTTAAATTGTCTTTTGTTTTATTTGTGCTTGGTAACTAAAATGGCTTTATTGTTTCCAATTTCACGTTGTTATAAAATTTTTTATTTATTTTTTTTGTTTTGGTGTGTGGAAACTTCTTAGTAAGAGTTTTAAGCAATGTGTGCAGTGTATGAAAGGATACACTCCAGGCACCAACATAACTTTTTTTGGCCTCATTGGTATACTGTTTGTTTTCTTTTTAGTGCTCAAATGTTTGTAGTTTTTGCAATGCTCCACCTCCCATTTCACACAAGACTCTCCATTAACAAGAGATCAGTTAGTGACTGCACTGAGTGAGCTGAACTGCTGCAACCAAAGTAACATGCATGAGAAGAGGATACTCAGGCAGACCCAGTAAGGATTTAACTACATATCGGTTTCAACTACCATCTGCAGCTTGGATGTGGATTGATACAGCTTAATTGTTTAAGTGAGCAGAGGAAAGCAGCCAAATAGGCTAAATATTACACTGGATTAATGTAAGTAACTGAATTGGTTTTAACCCCTTCAGTGCCTCGGGGAGGGGGGGGGGGGCCTAAGGATGCTATAGTGTCAGGAAAACTAGTTTGTTTTCCTGACACTATAGTGATCCTTTAACTGCATGGAACATTAGTGCCAGGTAAACAAACTTGTTTTCCTGGCACTATAGGGTTATTGGGTCCCCCTCCCTCTAGGTTGAATGGGGTTGAAACCACTTCAGCCACTCACCTTAATCCAGCACCGGGCTCACTCGGCGCTGGTAACCTCTCCTCCCCCTGCTGACATCAGCTCTGACTGCGCACGCGCGGCAAGAGCAGCGCACGCATTCAAACCGCCCATAGGAAAGCATTACGCAATGCTTTCCTATGGACGTCAGCGTCATCTCAATGTGATTTTCACACTGAGAATCGCAGAAGCGGCCTCTAGTGGCTGTCACGTAGACCGCCACTAGAGGCTGGATTAACCCTCAATGAAAACATAGTAGTTTCTCTGAAACTGCAATGTTTTCAGCTGCAGAGTTAAAACCGGGGGACCAGAAGTGGGCAGAAGTGACCTGGGTGCCTATAGTGGTTCTTTAAAGAATCACTATAGGGTCATGAACACAAACATGTATTCCTGACCCTATAGTGTTAAAACCACCATCTAGCCCCTCATGCCTCCATAAATATAGCAAAATATTACTGTATTCAAGCCTGAAGCTGTAGATCTGCATGCTGTTTGCCTCAGAAAAACAAGCTGTCTGCTGACATCATCAGAAGTGGTAGCCTGATCCATAGGTTTGGCTGAGACTGACAAAGAGGCAGTTTAGGGGCAGAGTCAGCATGATTCAAACACAAATTTAGGCAGCCATGACCCAGGAAGAATCTCTAACAGCCATCTGAGGAGTGGCCAGTGAAGTTATCACTAGGCTGTAATGTAAACACTGCATTTTCTCTGAAAAGACTGTGTTTACATCAAAAAGCCTGAAGGTAATGATTCTACTCACCAGAACAAATGCAATAAGCTGTAGTTGTTCAGGTGACTATAGTGTCCCTTTAAGTTAAAAAATGTAAAACAATGGGCATTAGCAAAACATTAAAGGACCACTATAGTGCCCTGAGGGTGCCCCCACCCTTAGGGTCCCCCTCCCGCCCGACTCTGGAAGGGGGAAAGGAGTAAAAACTTACCTTTTTCCAGCGCTGGGCGGGGAGCTCTCTGCCTCCTCTCCTCCTCCGGTCCGCCCCGTCGGCTGAATGCGCACGCGCGACAATAGCTGCGCGCGCCTTCAGCCGGTCGCATAGGAAAGCATTCATAATCCTTTCCTATGGACGCTTGCGTGCTCTCACTGTGATTTTCACAGTGAGAAGCACGCAAGCGCCTCTAGCAGCTGTCAATGAGACAACCGCTAGAGGCTTTGGGGGAAGGCTTAACCCATTGATAAACATAGCAGTTTCTCTGAAACTGCTATGTTTATAAAACAATGGGTTAACCCTAGAAGGACCTGGCACCCAGACCACTTCATTAAGCTGAAGTGGTCTGGGTGCCTAGAGTGGTCCTTTAAATAAAGATCTTCTAAATGCCTTTTTAAGTGTTTTTTTTCTTCACACCTGCACTTCTGCTACTAGTCAGGGCGATTCCAAGCTTTGCTGTTCTTACATTGAGCAAAACGAGCAACCACAACCTACAGTTCCCTTCCACTCTAATATAGAGTGTAGCTGCTTCGTTCAATCTACGTCCATCCTGCAGTCAGACAGACATATATTGATACCCTTACATATTGATACCCTGCCTTGGTGTCCATTCTTTTTAATACAGCCAGTCTGGCTTCCAGCTCACTCAGATTGGTTGATAGCTGAGCTGTGTACCCATAATTATAAGGTCTTTTTCAGTAATCAGGGGGGAGTTGGCAAGAAGGCAGACTTTTTGTGCCAAATTCTGCAATGTATTTTTTCACAAAAAAACAAACAAGATTTAAGCATACAAAAATATATATTAATGAGACCAAGGACAAATGCATTAAATGGGACCTGTCATGCCCCACCCACTCTTTTTAAAGAGCATGATATTTCACCCATAGGTTGTGCTAGTAGTTATACTAGCAAATGTATAGATTGGGAGAAAAACCTGTTTAAAATGACATATTTCTACCACTTCTAAGTCAAATGCTGATTTGACTGACAAGCGACAGCAAAAAAGCTCTTCCAAAAAGCAGACCATAGGAGGAACAGAAGATGGACCCGGGGATTAGTGTTTTACGAAGTGTAACAAAGCTCAGAAGATAGCAACACAATGTAAATATTTTACATTGAATATATAATCATTCTCTTTTTGCCAATTGCTATTTATTCTGTTTTATATTTTTGTACTAAAATTTTATGTTGTAGAACTTGTATGCTTACATATAGAATATTTCTCCTATAGTATCAGTCACCGTGCCTATACCTCACCTCAGTGCTATTGACCCATTCCAAATTGCAACTATTTTACCTTCTAATCTCCTCTCTTTTACCGCCTCAGTCTTTTGCAAGAAAGCCTGACAACAACACACTCTTCTGTCCCATCCTTCCCTCATCCACCCACATTGGCATCATGTTTTGATATTGACCATATTTGAGTAATTAGGGGAGTCATCAGCTTTTAGTTCTTCTCTGCAAACAGCACTCTTACAATCTTCAACATTGATTACTCGCCATTTTTTATTCTCAACTATTCCTGCCTTGCTATCAGACTGCTACCCTACATAACATCTCCTTTGCAGTCTTTATAAAGCTGTTCACCCCTTGTTCCATTCCATGCCGTTTTTTCACACATCATTGTCCTCCCCTTCCGCCGCTAAAACCAAACGTCCAACACATACGTTCAAGTCTCATTTCATCCTTCATTCTCTATCCCCAGTCTGGTCCCATCCTTAATGCATTTTTCAACCTCTCCTTGTCTACTGGCATCTTCTTCTCTTCCATCAAACATACACTAGTTAAAGGATGTATTCCTGACCCTATAGTGAAAACCCACCATTTAGATGGCAGCTATTATACTCACCAGAACTACATTAAGCTGTAGTTGTTTTGGTGACTATAGTGTCCCTTTAACCCCTTAAGGACCAAACTTCTGGAATAAAAGGGAATCATGATATGTCACACATGTCATGTGTCCTTAAGGGGTTAAAGGAACACTAGTGTTAGGAATACAGCTTTGCATTCCTAACACTATAGGAATCCTCTGCTCTATAGCATTCCTCCTAAGGCTTTTCCTCCGGTGACATCAGCCGGAAAGGAAAACCTAATGTGCACGCGTGGTGAGCTCCGCTTGCTCATTAGGCCTTCCCCATAGGAAAGCTATGACACAATGTTTTCCTGTGGAGACATGCAAGGCACTGGACTTTCTCATGCAAAGCATGAGGACATCCAGCGTGGTTTCAGAGTCAAACTCTGTAAATCAGCAGGAAGCACCTTTATTGGCTGTCTGGTAAACGGCATCCAAAGCTGTCTTAACACTGGAATGTAAACACGGCAGTTTCTTTGCTCACTTTTAAATCTGCTCGACCTCTCTGCTGCCTTTGATACTTGTCATGGTCATGTTATCTTTCTGAAAGCTCATTTAGTGTCTCCTCAGGTGTTGCCTTTTCCCTGCTGCCTCTCTCAATTGGTCACATTTTATTCTCAATGTACACTACCTCTCACTGTAACCTTATTAACTCCTTTGGATTTCAGCACCATCATATGCTGACGATACTCTGAGTTATCTTTCTCTTCTTCAATGTACCTCTCTTCCATTTATAACTGCATGTCTTCCTAAAACATAGTCTTTGTAAAACTGAACTCCTCTTTCCCCCCTCCAATAGTCGTCCTCCATCAATCTGCCTGAAAGTCAATGGGATGCCTATTACCCCACCTGCTGAAGCTCACTGCCCTGGTGTTACTTTGGACTCTGGTCTTACATTTTCTCCTCGCATCCAGTCTGTATCCAAATAGCATAGCTTCCAACGTAAAAATATTGCCTGCATTCACCCATTTTTAACTCAAGATTCAACTATGGCACTTGTTCATGCACTCATTTTCCATCTTGGCTATTGCAATGCTCTACTCATTGGCCTTCCAAATACTTTCATTTCTCCTCTTCAGTCTGCGAGTGTTTCCTGCTTTACTTGCTTTGAACTATAGTTCAAAGTGGAAGAGTGCTTCTCAGGCAGAAGAATTGGTTTTAAGCAATTTGATTGCTGCACATGTGCCATCAGTTGTATTTGATTGGATACAAGTCATCAGTACTGTTGACCTCACATAAGACCGATTGAGCTGCAGCGAGAAGACTCTCCTGGCACTGGAACAAATGAGTTTAATTCATTTATTTTTTTAATGTCCATGTGGGTGTTTGAGCAATGTAAAACCAATAAATGGAAACCCTATAAGCACCAAAACTATTTTGGCGTAATTAAGTGGTTTTGATGTACCACTGGACCCCAAACAACACTGCTAGATATACAGCTGCAAAATAATCCTCCCCCTCATGCAAATAATACAAACAGCCTACACACAGTCCCCACAAACACAACACCACTTGCAATCACAAGCAGCCACACACATACACACACACCACCAAATACACAATATGATATATATTCCACAAGCATCCCCCCATACACAACTCACATTCATAGATCTCATACGCCAATCTTGTTTTGGCACAGTACTATGAACCGGCTGCCTACCCCTGATCTATACATCTAAACTGCTTCATTAAGCAAAAGGTGTTTTTTTTTTTTGTTTTTTTTGGTGAGGGGCATGGGGTGAAGAGAGAGTGCGCACACTTTTTTTTGTGTTACTTTAATATTTATTTGGCTGGCTTTCATGGAATTTCAGTAGAAGAGTACTTAATTCAATCTTAATTACCAGTAAGCCTTACAGTAGTTGGAAACCAGTGTTAGTTCTATCCTTCAGCTGTCGTCAAGGAACCATAAACCATCCTGAAATTTTCATGATACCTTTAAATTCCAAGCTGGCTTGGCTTTCTTGAGCTGTTTATCGTATGTATTTAATTTTTTCATAAAAAAAAGTATAAAAAATCACCAAGTGGATGTTTTGACAGTCTGAATTCACATTATCTTCACAAAAGAAGCACACACTTTACAATCTCAGTAATAGGTGCATCAGATATATCTACTGGAACACATAACTGTACATTTAAAATCATGTGCATGTAAGCATAGGTTGTGGTGTAGGGTTTCTGCTCTCGCCTCATTGCACCCAGTCTAACTTCCTCCTCTACAAATTCATGTTGCGTTCATACAGCACAGCCCTTGCCAAACAGTCATACTTTTCCTCCCTCATTAGCTCATGCTTCCGCAATCCCAGGCGTCTTTTTACTACCTTTAACTCCCTGCTTTGCCCTCCTGTTGCCATCCGCCAAACTAACTTTTACAGCCAATAGCTTTGCATGCTACTTTACAGACAAGATTGAACAGCTAAAGAAAGAATTCTTCCCACCTTGCCCCTCTCTTTCTCAACCACACATAGGCCATGCCTTTCCTACCCTTCAGAATTTCTCCTAAGCTACTGAACAAGAGGTGGCTGCGCTTCTCCTTTCTTCTCGCCCCACCACTTGCCTGCTTGATCCTGTCCCGTCTCACCTGTTCAGATCTCTCTCGTCTTGTCCTGTGCCTTCCATAACACACATCTTCAACTGCTCTCTCTTCTGGTGTTGTCCCTGCTGACCTTAAACATGCTCCCTTTTTCCTCAAAGCTTCTGGAGAGACTTGTCTTGGCTGGAAAGACCCGTATGTCTCACTTCCTCAATTCCAACTCTCTCCTTAACCCTCTTCAATCTGGCTTCCGCCCCCTCCACTCTACGGAGACTGCTCTTATCAAAGTTACTAACAACCTAATGGCAGCTAAAACCAAAGGCAACTACTCCATATTAATTCTTCTTGACCTCTCTGCTGCTTTTGACACTGTTAACGATGTTCTCCTTCTCCAAATTCTTCAATCACTCTGCATCTGCACTGTCCTCTCTTGGTTTTTCTCCTCTCTCTTCCAACGCTCATTCAGTGTCTCCTTTTCTAATGATACCTCCTCCCTTCTTCCTGTCTCTGTTGGAGTCCCCCAAGGCACTGTCCTTGGTCCCCTTCTATTTTCTCTTTATACTGCCTCTCTTGGCAATCTTAATACCTCATTTGGATTCCAATGCCACCTTTATGCTGATAACACTCAGATATACCTCTCCTCCCCGGACCTATCCCCTGCCGTCCTGCAATGTGTTACTGCTTGCCTTCTTCCATCTCTTATTGGATGTCCTCCTGCTTTTTTAAACTCAATCTCTAAAACTGAACTCCTTGTCTTTCCTCCTAATACTGATCCTCCTCTTTCGCTCTCCCTTCAAGTGAGTTATACCCACATCAGTCCATCCTTGCAAGCGAGCTCTCTTGACGTTATACTTGATTCTGGCCTCACATTTGAGCCTCACATCCAGTCTGTTACCAAATCCTGTAGATTCCACCTTAAAAACATAGCCCTCATCTGCCCCTTTCTTACACAAGATGCTACTAAGGATCTTGTACATGCTCTAGTAATCTCTCACATGGATTATTGTAACTCTCTCCTAATGGGTCTTCCCACAAGTCATATTGCCTCGCTACAGTCTGTAATGAATGCTGCAACTAGACTGATTTTTCTCTCCTGTCGCTCCTCTCACACCTCTCCCCTCTGTCAGTCCTTACATTGGCTTCATGTATCCTATAGGCATCAATTCAAGGTACTAATTCACACCTATAAAGCACTGACCAATTCTAGCCCCTCCTACTAAATCTCTCCACTGATCTGCAGGTATGCCCCTTCTCTGTCTCTCCGCTCTGCCCGTGACAACCTCCTGTCTGCTGCTCGCACCTGTACGGCCAACTCACGCTTGCAGGACTTCTCGTGGGTGGCTACCTTCCTATGGAATAGCCTGCCTAATGCCATCAAGCTCTCCCCTAGTCTTCAATCTTTTAAAAAGTGCCTTAAAACCCATCTCTTTAGGAAAGCATGTGGCCTCCCAGAGTAACCTCTGCCTTACATACATGTCTCTTGCTCTCTCCTAAAGGGCAGCACTATATTCTCTCCTCCAGCTCTGCTTCACTCCACCTTATTTGATTGCTACCTCCTGTCCTGTTGTATTTTACGCCCCACCTCCTATAGACTGTAAGCTTGCTTTAGCTGGGCCCTCTTCAACCTATTGTTCCTGTAAGTTTTTGTAATTGTCTCATTTATTGTTAAATCTCCCCCTTTGATAATGTAAAGTGCTACGGAATATGCTGCCGCTATATAAATACCAGTAATAATAATAATAATAATCTGGTAGTCTCAACCTGGGAGGAGTAATCATTTCATTAGACATTGTCTTATAGAAAATGTAAACAATTTAATTTAAATACATAATAAATTTGTTTTTAAGTCCTATTTCAGCTGATTTCAATTCAGTACTTCAGTTTTTAGTCCCATTGAAAACTTACTGACTGTTCTACATGGTGGTCTTTCTTTTCTGTTAATATTTTATATTAAATCACAAACATACTGTGCTATCAGATGAGATACAGAATGTATCTAGCTGGATATCACCATGTTAAACACTGCATTATATTTAAAATTTAAAATAATATAAATGGAAATTATAATAGTATGGTGATAATTTTGGAAATACTTTGTGTTCCTATGTTGTTAATGTTATAAATGTTGCCGTCTTCGTATTGCGGTTTCCTGTTTTTATGGGGTAAATCTAAATTATTTAGGAAGTGTAGCTGTAACAGAATGTGTCTCTGGCATGCTTTTTGTAGAATTTAGGTCAGCTTATTCTTGTTGTTTGTGTGGTTGTTTCTTCAGATATGATTAATATAATAACGTTATTTCTCCTGCTGGCTGTGTTCCTTTGTTGTCTTTCTGACATCTCGACGGTTTACATTTTGTTTACCCTTGGGACTCCCCACAATTCTGCATTTATTTTCCCACATTTCCTTGCTTCATAATCTTATACTAGTTAAAACTAAAAAGGTTATCTGTTTTAGTTTAACACACTTTTTATACAGAGAACAGAATCACACAAGAACAGAGGTGCCCAAAAGGTAGATCCCACTTGGTTTGCATGCCTTTAGAATGACAGAGCATCATAGAAGCTGTAGTTTTGAAACATCTGGGATCTACCTTCTGGGCACCCCTGCACTAGACTTTAGGGCTACTGGGAAAGGTAATTGCTTCTAGATGGGTTGTCGCTGCTCCTTGCAACTGATGCTATATGGTCACTTTGTTTTCATGCCAATTTTCTGAAAGAACTCAATCCCTGTATATAATTGAACAATAACTTTTAATGATCGGGTATTAAATAGAAGCCTGGCGTGTCATTGAAAAGGACTAAGGAGTTAATGAGAACTCTTTGAAATCATTTGTGTCTTCAAGGGAAAATTAACCCAAATTAGACTGCAGAAAAAAATGTGATAGAAGCAGTCAGGTGGGCACACTAATAACTAAGAAAAAAAAAAGGGGAATATAATGGCAATGCAGCACAGGGAAGAATATCAGACTTCCTCACATAGGAGAATTAATATTTTACATAATCTTTGCAGTTCTAGGGTTCTTAAATAAGTATTGTCACCCATCATAAGGATATACAGAAAAAAATAAACGTAACACAGAAAATCAAATTCCAACTAGCAAAATAAGACCGGCTCTAGAATAGTCTCTGGGGATAGGTTCACAACATATGTAAGACAATAGCCGTATAGTGAGTCCACCAGTTTGTGCACATTTCTAACTGTATTGTTACTCTGGTGGTGTCTTCACCAGGAGTACCTTGATATTCTGAATCTCTCAGGTCTGAAAGACCTGTGTGGATTTTTTAATACTTAAAGTGACTGTTACTCCAAATTTACCTTTCTCATATTGGTTCTTCTTCTTCTCTTCTACTTTCAGAATTGTTTCTTTAATTCTGATCTATTTCTCTTTAAGATATAAGACAAAGTAGGGATGACTTTGTTTTATGGTTTGGTTTTTTTCTTACACTTATCAATCTTGGCAAAGGATGGGGGCTTAAGGCAAGCTCCACTTTCTTTGTCAACCTAACATATGACATGCAATGTACGTTAAGAAGAACATGAGGGAAAACGCCACACTGCACATAATTATACCAGATTAGGTAGGTAGTGTAGCACCTTACACTGCATTTCCGTGTACATGATTCTGAATTGAGTCCTTCCTCAAAAGTTAATTACTTATTTACTGTGTTTGCAATACTTCAGTGGCTCCAATATCCCAGGCAGTTTATTCACATTGGGTTTTGTAATTGTTGCATCAGGCTTATCTAGGGGAAAAAACATTATATATATATATATATATATATATATATATATATATATATATATATATATATATATATATATATATATATATATATATATATATATATAATTTTATGATTATTATTGTATTTATATAGCGCCATCAAATTCTGCAGCGCTTTACAATGGGTGGACGAACAGACATGTAGTTGTAACCAGACAAGTTGGACACACAGGAACAGAGGGGTTGAGGGCCCTGCTCAATGAGCTTACATGCTAGAGGGAGTGGGGTAAAATGACACAAAAAGGTAAGGATAGTATTAGATTAGTGACAGTTGCAGAAGAGGAGGAAGCTATTAACCGTTTAATTGATACGCTTTTATGAAGTGTATTTTTAATAAATAAATATATATATAATATAATCTTCCTTTTATTCTTGCCTTTTACTTTTTTTTTTTTTCATTCCCACACATGCACTATTTCAACCTAAAAATGTATATATGGAAGAACAGTTTTGTTTGGCTGTAGGTTTGTGGAGATGTAATGTTTTCTGGTAGGTTATTTTAGAATTGCAAGAGTTCTGTATGAGAATACAGCACAACTCACTTTCTTGTAAAGGTAATGGGGAGAGCAAGGTGCTGAAAGTGGACCTTACAAAGAGTATGGAGTGCAGGTCTGAACATATATTTTTATTGGTGTGAGAGCTTACTGGCAATGCAATTTATGAACTGGGCAATGTAACAGTAAAGGGTATATCTTTATCAGTGTTATTCTTTTTAGTTGTGTGTACCATTTTGTAGTGATTTATTCACTATTTTTCACATTCTAGCTAATTGAAATGGAAAACTCCAGGCTAGACTAGCCGAGCTGTGACTGTAGCAGAGTTGGAAACTTTCTTCAAATCTGCTAGTTTAGCCTTTATCTTGCCATTCAAATACAGTTTCTAATCTAGTAAATAATCTAGTAAATTTGTGGAGAGGAATTTGACATGCTGTATTTACTGCCTCCCGAAAGTCATTCAGACATTACCTTATGTTGTACTACCAGTTTATTCATATCAGATTTTGAACAGAGCACCACTGTTAGGCCATGTAGTTTAGCCTAGCCAAGTTTCAAGATATTTATAGGAGTCGGTAACTGCATGCCTGTTCCTAAAAAGCACGTTTTTGATCTTGTGTAACATTTGTGGCCTCTGCTGAACTGCAAGTGCTGTGACTTTTTATTTAGCTGTAGGCTCTGAAAGTATTTCATGAAGGTAAGACTTACCACCAGTGTCTACTTCTGATTAATACTAGAACTTTTTTTTTCATTGTCTGAAAAGCTAGAACTGTGTGCTGGGTATTTTAAGGGCACTGAAGAGCTGCAACAGAATTTAAAAAAAGTTACTTTTGTTGATGAATCAAACTGGTTGTTTATGGGGTAATGTGTCTCTGGTGATGGGAGACTTACTGTTATCTAGTAAAAATTATATACTTGTCTCCGTTTTGTTTTGCAAGAACTCTTTTGAATATGTCAACAGACATAAATCAAAGTTTTTATGGTAGGCTCATTTTCCTATGTTCTCAGCAATTAACAATTCAGTCTTCGTGATTGGAGTTACATCTCAAAAATCTCCCTCCTTGCAAGTTTTGTTTGCGTTTATGATAGTATGGGCATAATCAGTCTTGTATAAGGCCATTGCAATCTCTCCCTACTTGCAAAATATATGCATGGTCTATCGGTTTGTAAATGTGTGTATGGCAGTGATATCAAGCATTTTAATTGTACTTTAACAGTATTTTTTTTAAATTTTTTGCGTTGCTCGGTTCATTTTCTATATGTTGAGGATCTAACAGCTGATGCCTCTGGAAATCACCTTTTGGACATCAGTCAGGTTCACAATTCTCAATGTGCCCATACTGGCATAAACTTCTAACAAGGCGATTTGATGTGCAACTGCTATCACATTAAACCGGCCCAGTTCTTACAGCATGGCTGCACCAAATGGATTCTGCTGGTATTACTAGATTTTCTCTGTTAGGTTTTTTTTTAATTGTATTTTTTGTGTGTGACAGAAGTCATACTTGTTTTTGGTTTACAATTTTCTAGATCAAGGCTTGACAGTTTTTTTTCTTTTTTTTTTTCTTTAACGTTAAAATCCCGGGCCAATACTTAGAAGACGGGCGGGCATAGTTTCATTAACACACAAACCATTCCTCTCGCACATACCTAAATAATTATACACACAATCATAGCACGTAATACACTATAATATAGACATTTTAAATTTGGCTATATTTGCATGTACGTGTAGTTAGCCACTCATGCATTCATACACCACGTTAGACAATCACACATACATGACAACTGTACAGACATTCATTCATAAATGCAGATATCTGTTTCTTTATACATTCATGCATATGTAAAATCCTTCCCTGCCTTCTCACTGCTCAGGAATCTTGTGTGCAAGGAGGATGAGTAGATAGGAGGTCTGAATCTGATCCTTGGTTTTTATTTTTTTTTGTAAATATAAGTTTATTTGTATAGATTTGCTGTAGCATATACAATCAAACATGCAATAGTGGATCGGGAGACACGCAGGTCTCACTTACAGTGACAATTAGTTAAGTATTTAACATTTACCCAGTATTCCTAGATACTTATAGGCTTTATTAACCTCATGTGTCTATAGGTTCCCTATCTCCTTCGTTCCCTTTCCCTTCCTCTCTCCTTTCCTTCCCCCCCTTCCCCTCCATCCTGTAGTTCCCCTCTTCTCATCCTTCTTCTCCTGTACCCTTTCCTTCTCTGTCTCTCTCCCTTCTCTACCTCCCCTCCCCATCTCCTCCTCCACCTTTTCCCTGTTCCCCTTCGTTTTTGCGTTCTCTGGATCATGGGGCGCTCTTTTAACTATAGAGGTTAGGTTTATTTCCTTCCGCTATGGGGATCCCTATCTCATGGTCCGTTTCGTTTATCCGGGCATTGGCACATTCTCTGGACATTGGTAGCCCCCTACTTTCTGGACTTCTATCTGTGTCGGATTTCGGCCGGATGTCCGGTGTGGGCGGTTATACTAGTGTCCTATGTACCTTTACCTCTTGCATTTTATTCTTTAGCGTTGTGTGTTATACTGTGGTTCGTTTGTGCATCTTTATTGTTCTGTACATTGTGTTGGGCTTGTCTTACGGTCCTGGGTCTCCCTTCCCTTGGTCACTACTTCAGCTAATGCATGTTTGTCTTTACCTCCGTTTGGGTTGCTTTCTGAGATGGCCGACCACCAGGCAGTATATACCGCTTTCGTGGGTGACCATGTCTTAGAGTGCTCGTGGTTGTCTCCGTGCGTTCCAGTCAGCACTAGAACTGTAACTAGGTGTGTTTGTTTAATGGTTCATTCTGAGTTTGCTTTTGTGTGCCCAGTGTGTTGATCCTTGGTTTTTAGTTGGGAAGTGGATCTATATGAAGCTTTAGCAGAGACTGCTTCCCTCTCTTTTCTTTTACTTTTAAATGCTGTATTCAAGCAAAGCACGAAATGGACGTAACACTATATTACTTCCTCCCAATGCTGTCGAGATGCTGCCTGGATTGAAGTGAGGGGTAGCAAGGAAAGCTGCCACTGCTACCATATCATGCAGTGTCAGACAGATCCTAACTGACTCAGTGACCCAGGCACTAGCTGGAGACCTCCCTTTTATCACTTTTCTTGGCACCAGAGGACAGAAGAAAAAAACGTAATATCACCAAAGGTCTATCTTAAGGGACATCTTTTGATCCCTCCTGCTTAAAAGGGGAATAAATTTGGGACCCTAGATGCGCCTCTTGTCTCCATGGGAACATTGTGCCTAATTTTGTAAACCCCTTTTAATAGTGTTTATGTATATTGATATTTGCACAGTACTCTCCTTTTGTATAATAATACAGCTTGATGTAAGCAGTGTCTTTTCCTGTAGAGGTAACAGAGATTTGCTGAATCGAGGCTCTTGCAGTCGGCAGAGCAGCACTGAAAGCGAATTGAAGTCTCTGGATCCTCGACCCTGGAGCAGCACAGAGTCTGATGGGTCTTGCCGCAACATGCGTCCTCCTGTAACCAAAGCCAGCAGCTTCAGTGGCATCTCAATCCTAAGTAGAGGAGACAGTATTGGCAGCAATAAGAATGCCATTAACCGATCTGGCAGACCAGGTAATATTATTAACCTATGCAGCATACCTCCATTTCAACTACATTTGCGAACACAAACAAACTGTGTTCACATGCTTTGTAATGATACTTCATGGAAGCCTGTGCGTATTCTAGATTTACCTTGTTTCCATGTCCTTCACTGCTGCAATCTTGATTTACTGTAATAATCGACACCCTTCTGTTCTCCTCTGTCATTAATCTCTGTGCATATGTATATTTAAAGAAAATTGTTAAATCAGAGCCTAAAGTGTTTTGCAGCTTTCACTGACTCATTGCATTCCTTCCATTTCAAAGATTGTTTTTCAGCTGTTGATATTGATACATACTGGTGTATTTGGCAATGCTGTGCACCCTTTTCTTCTGACGTTCTCACCACTTTCATTGCGCGTTGAGGCTTTATTTGTTTGTTCTTGGCAGGCTTGCCGGTAGGCACTCCAGAAGTATGCAGCCAAGCCTCCTCCTCACAACAGTCCACTCGAAGTGTCATATCTTGCACGGCACAGCAACCGCATCCCCATCCTCACCAGGCACTTCCACCCACTCCTCAGCATCAATCCATGAGTAACCACTTAATGTCACAGGTGAGTCACCAGACTGTCATCAAGTCCATCTACTATATAATGTCACTGCATCTGTCTCACTGCTTACTTGCCTAGTGCTTTCGCTCTTTCTTCAACCTGTGTCAATCTTGTTTTTCCCTTCCTAGTTTTCTCCATCTCCTCCTTCTCCCTGTTGCTGTTTCCACTGATATTTCTGACATCAAACCTTTGTTCTCAACTTTTTTTCTCTCCTTGTAGTTGGTCGTGCATATTTTATGTTCTCTGCTTACATTTAATGAAATGATAGCACAATTTCCAGTATAGTAGAAAGGGTCAGAATTTATACTTCTTTAAATAAAAAAGTACTTGTTTTACTTTTAGGAAGTAAATAAAAAATGGTTTATTTTCCATTTAGCCAAATTTTTGGTTTTTGGACCAGCTTTAATTGAATATGCAGAGAAAATCTTGTCAAATGAAAGAAAATCATTGTAAATCATATCAAATAAATTTTCAGAGATAAGGCAGTGTTTACTTTGCTGCCTAAGATCACCTCTAGTGACAGTCACTCAGGCAGTACATCCTAGACAGTGCTGCACAATGAATTCTCTACGTGGGGATGCCGATTGGCGCAGCGTTATGCCGCGCGTGCACAGTAGCCTCCAATGCTTTTCTATGGAAAAACGTATTGACTGAGATCATCAAGATTGATGATCTTAGCCATGAAGAGTTTTAAACATGTAAGTTTTAAACTTTTAATCTCCACGAGAGGCAGTCCAATGACCTAAACAGTGATTGTTGCATAATAGTGTCAGGAATACATGTTTGTATTCCTGACATTATAGTGTTCCTTTAACTGTTTTGTCTCAGAAGGCAAAGCCATACTCTCTGATGGTTGGTGTGTCCAGCTGTGGTTATTCTCAAGCTACAATCATCTTTGCTTACTTGAAGAAAAATGCAGAACTCAGTAGGGATATGTATAAAAAGTGACCTGTGACAGAGGTGAAATTGTGGAGCAAATTGATTCTGCTGAATACATTGATTTCTATAGTGATTTCTCCACTTTAGAAACGCCATAATTATACAACTTTTCTAATAATAATTTTATACAGGGGTGTGGCTTGGACATGATGCATATGGCCCCATAGAGCTTGAGCTCCCCTCTGACACACAGCTAAATCGGGTATCTATACTTATTTTTGCACCCAAATGGGGAAAAATAATAAGAATCAGGCTTCCAAAAGAGCCTAAGTACGATTTAAGGTGGCACCTACCTCATTTCTACGCCAATATCTGGTGACTGTCCGGATCGGCTTGGAACCTTAACATGCAGACTCCAACACAATAAATAGACAAGCTGTATACTGGCCCTCAGAGTGGCCAGGCTAAAGGTAGGAGTCAGAGAGAATGCAGAGGTCAAGGACAGGAGAGATATGGATAAACGTTATAACAAGCCGTGGTCAAAGGATACAAGAGATCAGGAGAATTGAGTAAACAGACAAAATCCGAAACCAGGAATTGGAATTACAAGGAACGTGTTCTTGGGCTATTAGAATCACAACAGGGTAAAAGGCGAGGAAACATATTAATGATGAGATTTAAACAGATTTGAAGCATAAGATACATGATTAATCCACCGAATGACTAGAAGACCCAATGTATTTCGGAGCAAGTTGTCTGCGAAAAAAAGCCATATGTCTCAGAGGATCTTCTATGAAATTTGTTCCAAAATAGAGCAAAAATAGGTAGATTAGAGTCAAAGCCTGAAGGCAATCAGCATTTTTTTTTCTGTTTGAGACAAGGTGTTCTGAACCTGCTCCAACAAAGCATGGAAAGAAGGTTTGTATCCAAAGCGAGTCTTTCAGAAAATATCTTGGATGGCATACTAGGACACTAGGTTGTACACCATAAGCCACAAGGAACTGACTTAGTCCAGTAGAAACATGATGAGCTGAGCTTCTAGCAGATTCAGCCCATGAGAGCAGAATAAGTTATAAAACCGCACAAGTACAGTTCCAGTGGTTGGTTAGCCGTTCAGCAGCTCAGTTTGTCTGAGAGTGATACGCTGAGGAAAATTAAATTTGGATTCTGATCTCAGAGCAAAAACGCCTTCAGAATCTAGAAATAAACTGGGATCCCCTGCTGGAGACTTTCTATAGGATTTCCATGCAACCTAAATATCTCCTTTGCAAATACTTTGGCCAAGAGTTCCACAGTGGGTAATTTCGTCCGAAATATAAAGTGGGCCATGTTTGAAAACCGGTCAACCGCCATTAGGATAAGTGTTGCCTTTAGAAGGTGGCAACTCAACAATGAAGTCAATAGACAGATGTGTACAGGGCATCTCGCATGGGGTTCTATTCAAAGTGTATGTCAACTTGGTTTAGGAAACCACAACGCAACATAGGATCCCCACTGTAACTGTGGAGTAGTCATATGTACCGGAGGTGGGTAATTACCAGCTACTGGAGTTGGACTAACGTACAGGGGCTACAGCAGTAGCTTGAGCCACCGACTGCAAATGAGATGTACGTGAAAGGATTGTTTGCAAGGCCTAGGTAAATTCATCCATACAGTTGAGATGGTGTGCCACCAAACTCCAGCTTTCGAGGGCCGCATGCAGGTCAGGAGTTTGACACACAGGTGGATCATGCTAAATAACGGATTAACTCACTTAGGTTTAAACTAAGATAATAAAATACTAGGCCTGTCTGTGACCCTTGAGGCCCTCAATTGTTTAATTACAATTGGCAATAAAACAAAATTTATACTATGCTTCCCTTTCTTAGTATGAACTTCTATTCTTTGTGATAATGTGTCCAAATAATTGATTCTTGGTTTTGTAGTATCCATAAAATTTCTGCACCACAATTAAGATTATAAAAACTGTAGTTATTTTATATCTTCTAGATTAGGTATTTAGATGTGCTTCTTTTAAAAATGTGGTACTAACATACTGTTTTTTGTTTTTTTATTCCCCAACTCCCTTCCCCATCCTTTTGTTTGTCCTTTTTCTCACTCCGTACCCATCCTTTCTTTGTCCTATTCTCTGCATGCTGCTCTGCTGGTGCCAAGACCCTTCAGCCCTCACCACAACCGGTCCAGTACTCCGCCAGCTCCTGCCCCCAAGTCCTTCTGCCAGTCTCACCTCCCCAGCAGTTCAATCTGGTATATTCTATTAACCATTCCCCTCCTCCTCTTATTTTATGGAATCACTTGTGTGAGGGTTTGCTTACTAATTAGTCTTTTGTTCCAAGATTGAGTATTTCTGTGGAGAAGGATGAGTAATTGCTCCTGCTAGTCTTGTCAGCTTTGTCTCCTGTCTACATTCTAAAAATGGAACTCTCAGTTTAGCAGTATAGGCCTTTTTTTCATCAAACAGAACTGGAGCAATTCCAGAGCAAAGTGCCTACTGATGGAGCAATCACCATAGAAACTAGTGATCTAGACATGCTGATTGTTTAAAATTAACATTTTACCTTAGGATTGCTCATGTTTTGAAATAAACTTGTTTCTATCTTTTCGGAGAGAAAGAGAAAAACTTTAGACCATGGGTGTCTGAAAATGGAACATTTGATGAAATCTGGTTAAGCATCCTAGAAAATGAAGTTCACAAATATTAGTAGTGTCAAGGTTATCCATTGTTCTAATGCAAGAATGACTAAGCTTGACTTTCTGTATGTGAACTATATTTCATTTGGTGCTCAGTAAGCCATAAGACATATTTTAAGAATTTTCTTTCCTTGGTGAGTCCCTTAAATGCATGTTGGTTTGTTCATGGATACTTGTGCCTTTGCTTGGCCACCTTACTACTGTCCTGAGTTGGCTCTGCTGATGGTCTGGAATGTTGTGTGATTCCTGTCCATACCATCCTATTCATGGATCTTACTCATATAGGACTTGACATTTTTACATTTAGTTGCACAAGTTGTTTTTCACTAGCATTAGATCCTTTTATTTCATTAACTCTTAATTATAATTCCTAGTGCCTGCGTATCCATATGTTTTTTGCTGAAATGGCATGATCTTTAATCTAATTGTAGAATTTTTCTCCTGTTCTAAACCACTATTCCAGTGTATTGGATGCTCTTGAGTATTTAGGGACTTCATGATATGATTAGCATTTTACTTGGTTTGTTTTTAAGTGGATTTGTGCCCAGTGTAAAGAGTTCTATATACATTTTTGGCTATATACATCTTTGGCTTTTGATTAGTCCGATAATGCTCTCGAAATCTTGGCTATTGGGGGTAGTGGTATGATACTACTTGTTGCTTCAAATTTAAACATTTCTATTTGATTGTTGGGAATTATAGGAATATCACAATTAAATTGTGTCATTAAGAGTTGTTCAGTCTATTACTAAAATGTTCATCAACTGTATTGATTTAATATGGGTCTGTGTAGTGTAGTGTAGCGTGTCAAATTCAGTCACACTGTGTGTGTGTGTGTGTGTGTGTGTGTATATATGTATATGTATATGTATATGTATATATATATATATATACATATACATATATATGTGTGTGTGTGTATAGAGAGAAGTATGGCTTCTAACATACGAAGAGGGTCATAATAAATATATAAGATGAAGCAGTTTTTATGTATAGATGATGCTTCTGCAGTCCCACTGCTCAATTCTTTGTCACTTAGGAGTTACATCACTTCTATTTCTGATTATACAGCCCTAGCCACACTTTACCTGGCTGTAAATCACACAGCCTCCATAAAAAACGTTTTATGTTTACTCAGATATTGTGCTTAATTCAGAAGTTCTTATATCCTATTCTGTTAATTAAGCTTTAATTGTATACATGGCTCCTGTAGGATCTAGTAGGTAATTAACAGTGCAGGAGAAAATACTTGATTTAACATTTTGTAGAGAAACTAGATGGGCATGATCTATATACCGAAACCACTTAATTGAGCTGAAGTTGTTTTGCTGACTACGGTGTCCCTTTTAATCTGCAATTAAACTCTTAATTAAAGTAAACCTGCTTTTTTTTTTTTTTTCAGAATTATTGTTCTAATAGTTATTTGAAACAGCGAACACATACATAGAGTTAAGGGGCAAATTTGTGTGTACACTAGATGGACAAAGTGTTGGGACACACCTCTAAATTATTGAATTCAAGTATTTCAATCCGACCAATTGCCACAGGTGTATAAAATCAAGCACATAGCCATGCAATCTTCATTTATAAACATTTGAATTCAAGGGTGGTGCTGTGATAGGATTTTGTGAAATGTCATCCTTGATAGATATTCTACGGCCAACTGTAAATGGGATAATTCAAACGTGCATGCGTTTAGCAATAGCAGCAACTCTGCCACGAAGTGAAAGACCATGTAGAGTCACAGAGCGGAGTGCTGAGCCACATGGTGCGTAAAAGTTGCCCATGCTCTGCTGTTTCCTGAGCTGAATAGTTCCGACTTCCACGGACATTAATATCCGCACAGAAACTGCGGCATAGCTTCATGGAATGGGTTTCCATGGCTGAGCAGCTGCACTCAAAGCTGGCTTCACAGAGTACAATTCCAATCGTTTGATTAAGTGGTGTAAATTTTACCTGCCTGACTGTAATATACCAACTGTAAAGTTTGGTACCGGAGGGATAATGGTATGGGGCTATTTTTTAGATGTTGGCCTAGGCACATTACTTCCAGTGAAAATAAATCTTAATGCTTCAGTATACCAAGACATTTTAAACAATGCATCCAACTTTGTAGAGATCCCTGACCTCATCCCTTTCAAACACATTTGGGATGAACCGGAATGCAGATTGAGAGCGACGCCTTCTCATTTAACATCAGTGCTTGACCTCACAAATGCTATACTGCATAAAAGGGCACATATTCTCACAGAAATGCCAAAATCTTGTGGAAAGCCTTCCCTGAAGAGTGGAAGCTGCTATAGCTGCAAAGGGTAAACCAACTATATATTAAAGGAACACTTCAGGGCCAGGAACACCAACATGTATTCCTGAACATATAGTGTTAAAACACTATCTAGCCCCTCCTGGCACCCTCTTGCCCTCCTAAATATAGTAAAATCTTACCTTAGTCTTCTGGCTCTATCTTAGTCTTCTGGCTCTGCTCTTGATCTACCTTCCTGGCTGACTGAAGTGAAGATCTCAGCTAATCACAATGCTTTCCCATAGGAAAGCATTGGATTGGCTGCGATTTTCAATTCTGATGAACTCCGCCAAGAACGTGGCCGGGGGGGCATAGCCAAACACTGCCCTGGCCAATCAGCTTTTCCTCATAGATATGCATTAAATCAATGCATCTCTATTAGGAAAGTCCAGTGTCTTCATGCATAGGGCGGAGACACTGAATGTCAGTGTTGCACACTGTGCAGCACTGCCCCAGGAAGCACCTCTAGTAGCCACCTGAGGAGTGGCCACTGGAGGTGTTCCTAGGCCGTAATGTAAACACTGCCTTTTCTCTGAAAAAGCAGTGTTTACTGCAAAAATCCAGCAGGGGCTAACTATACTACAGAATAACTACATTAAGCTGCAGTTGTTCTGGTGACTACAGTGTCCCTTTAATGTCTTTGTATTTAGAATGCAATGTCATAAAAGTCCATTTTGATGTAATGGTCAGGTGTCCCAATACTTGTGTCCATACAGTGTGTGTATATTGCTTTTCAAAGACACATATAAGATTACAATTATGTAAATTTTAAATATTTGTTTATCCTTTACCAAAATACTGAAGGGATGCTTTAGGCTATATTTACACCAATTTTGCAAAATGTAAAAGTGCATATTTTATGTCTTTATATTGTGATTTTTAAATCAAATATTTACAAACTTAATTTGAAAGACAAGTTAACATTATTGCACTTTTTGTTTGTACCTGATTAAACTCCCCTAAGTATTTGCAGCAAATTTAAGATCTTTTAATCACTTTTTTTGTATTTTAATTTTTTAAATTTTTTTTTTTATTGCAGGCTGATGATCTAAACAGTCACTTTGGGCAGATGACTCTTAGTCGGCAGGGTTCCACTGAGACACAAGATCCAGCCTCTGCCATGTACCAGCCTTCCCTGATAACCCAGCATCCCCAGCAAGCCGGTTTCATCATGGCATCAGGGGGACAAACAATCCCCACAACCGGCTACCCTTCCTCAGGGCACCCTTCTCCTACTCAGCAGGTCATCCCTCCACAGGGATTCATGCAACCTCCACAGCAAGTATGTTCCTATATTTCGAATTTTAATGTTCACTTTGATGTGTCTATCTCTTGAGTGCTTTACGCATGTAAAGATAATGTGTGCAAGAATTGAAAATAGATGCCTGTAAATGCTTTGATCATTAAATACCGTATATACTCGAGTATAAGTCGACCCGAATATAAGTCGAGACCCCTAATTTTACCCCAAAAAACTAGGAAAACTTATTGACTCGAGTATAAGACTAGGGTGGGAAATGCAGCAGCTACTGGTAAATTTCTAAATAAAATTAGATCCCCAAAAAATTATATTTATTGAATATTTATTTACAGTGTGTGTATATAATGAATGCAGTGTGTGAATGCAGTGTGTGTGTTTGTGATGCAGAGCCTTTGTGACAGACTTATTTTTTTAAAATTATTATTTATTTTTTATATTACTATTTTTATTTATTGTAATTTTGTATTTAATTATTTTTTCGTCCCCCCCTCCCTGCTTGTTAGCTGGCCAGGGAGGGGGGCTCTCATTCCCTGGTGGTCCAGTGGATGTGCTGTGTAGGAGGGGGCTGGCAGTGAGCTTTTACTTACCTTTCCTGCAGCTCCTGTCAGCGCCCTTCTCCTGCGTGCCGGTTAGCTCCCTTCTCCTCCACTGCAAGTCTCGCAGTGTGAGTGCCGCGCGGAGCATTGCTCTGATCCCCCAGCTCTTGCGAGACTTACAGTGGAGCTGACAGGGGAGCTGACCGGACCAGAGGAGAGAGTAGGAAGCTGACAGGAGCTGCAGGAAAGGTAAGTTACAGCTCTCTGCCAGCCCCCAACAGGACCGCCGGGCTTGAAATGAGCCCGGCTGTGCTGGTCTGTATTATGGCAATGTAAGTTGCCATAATACAGACATTGACTCGAGTATAAGCCGAGTTGGGGTGTTTCAGCACAAAAAAATGTGCTGAAAAACTCGACTTATACGCGAGTATATACGGTACTTAAATTAAAGTAATAACATGAAATACACATGGGACAAAAGATGCATTGAAACACATGTATATGTTTTTGACCCTATTGGAATTAAATGGTATTAAAATTCTGTATAAAGTACTGAAATTGAAGTAATACATGTTTTCCGAGGCTTGCAAGCCTATGAAGGGATCATTTTCTGTGAGGTAAACAGAAAAAAAAATCACCCAGAGTCTCTGACAGACGCATGACACACCACCAAGCAGAAAGCCCTTTAATATGTAATAAAGGCTTTTGCTGCTGAATTCAGCTATTGCCAGGACCTTCTTTTAAAAGGAGTATAAGTGGAATCTGCCATTTCATTGTTTTACTTTTATGGGGAAAAAATACAGCTTTGAAAACATAGCAAGATATTCATTAACAAATATCATCGCGTGTTCTACAATACATATATTTGTGACGGTGTTAATACATTTGTATCTTGACATATTGTGTAAAACAGGTTATTTCCCAGATATATGTTGTAGATAACCCGAAAACCCCACATTAACTTAAGAGTGGTTTTGATTCTCCTGAAACATTTCAAGCTATTTGTATGGATGTTGTAATATGCAGACATTATTCAGAGGTTTTAGAATAAATGTTAACTTTTCATCTTTTTTCTGAAGATTCAGGTCTCGTATTACCCCACGGGGCAGTACCCAAACTCTAGCCAGCAATACCGACCTCTATCACACCCAGGGGCCTACAATTCACAACGCAATCAGCAGGTCACCCAACAGTCTCAGCAAGCAGGTGAGATGGTAAAAGGGCTCTTCTTTAATTGGTTATGTCTGATATTTTCATCAAAATTACAGGTAAAGATAGATTGTATTAAAGAACTTATACTCTTTCCAAAACAGCAGTCATTCCTTTATTGCTTAAAGGCAAAGACAAATCTCCAAGCCGGAGATCAGTTAGCCAGTTAAAGCTTCACTTGAGCACAGTTCATAAATAGTGCCTTGAATGCAGAGAGTGGCATTAGGAGGTTTCACCAAAAGTCAGACTTCACATGATGAGAAACTCCACAATTGGGCATGAACTGGATCAAGGCGTTTCTTTTCATGTAAAGCCTGACGTTTGTTTTAATTATTTTATAACAAGATTTGAAGAAAGTTTTCTTTATTCTTTCAAAATATCTATACCTATATTACTGTAATAAACCATGACTACAACATTTTGCTATATCTAGATAGATTGGAAAAACATTTCCACGTCTGAATTGACAATAGAATTGTAAAATTATGCCCTACGTAGGTCTCTATCAGTGATTTCAGCCTCTGTTGCCACTTCTGAACAATATGCCTCTTTTAATGACAGGTATTCAGTCTGTAATCCCCAACCAGCCTGCTGCTTACCAGGGCATGATGGGAGTCCAGCAGTCTCAGAATTCTGCCATCCTTAACAACCAGAGATCCAGTGTTGGAAGCCAAATGCAGAGCATGATGGTGCAATACACTCCACTCCCGTCATATCAAGTGCGTGTCATGAGAACAATCCTTTTGTTTATTAAGTATTTTTGAACGTATATTTGGCAATCAGGGCAGGTGATAAGACTTTAGATTATTGAATGTGACGGCAGATATGAACAGTTTGGCTCATCTAGTCTGCCCAATTTTCTAGGTACATCCATTAATCCTTGGCCTTATCTTAAATCTAGGATAGCCTTATGCCTATCCCATACATGATTAAACTCTCTCACTGTGTTAACCTCTACCATTTCTGCTGAAAGGCTATTCCATGCATCCACTACCCTCTCAGTAAAGTAATACTTCCTGAAATTATTTTTAAACCTTTGCCCCTTTAATTTTAAGACTGTCCTCTTGTGGTAATTTTTCTTCTTTTCAATATAGACATAATAATACACCTATCAGACAATTTGTTTTTGTTTTCATACAGGTCTATAATTCTAGCATACTGGAACTCCTTTCCCAATTTTAGATTTTGTTTATTTGTGGTTCTTTATGTTGGGATTCTATGAGGTTGTCCTCATAAGATAGCCCATCAATATGTAGGCAAAGAACTGTTCAGTCTTGGTAAATGCCTCTTTTTATGAAAACTTCTTTATGCATCTAGTGTAAATTGTTCAAGCTTGTTCACATAAATTATTGTACTCAAATTTCAAATTTTTTTGATTTGCAGGTTCCAGTGGGCAATGAATCCCAGGGAGTAGTGCCGCAGACGTATCCGCAATCTGTGTTGGTACCTGCAAACCAGTCTGTTCAGGGAACAATGCCTGCTGGAGGGATGCCAGTATATTACAGTGTTATACCACCGACACAGCAAAATGGTTCCAGGTGTGCTTCCTGCATGATTTGTTTGTCTTATTTAAGCCTTATATTATTTTTTTTTCTTTCTTTCTGCGAAAAGTGATTATTTGATATACATTTGCATAGTCTTGAAAGTATTGTGAGTTTTTACTTTATGGGTTCCTTTTTTAATTTTTTTTTTTTTAAATATTTGTTTAGATGTAAATATCTGCTGCATGCATTTGTAATATAATATACAACATATCTTTATGACTTCCACACCTTAAATGTGGAATTAAATGTTGTATTGCAAACCTTATTGCTTTTTTGTTTTTTTCTCCCATCATTTTGTCTCCTGCTATAGTCCTTCAGTTGGCTTTCTCCCACCTCCTGGCTCCGAGCAGTACCAGATGTCTCAATCTCCTTCGCCCTGCAGTCCTCCACAGCTGCAACAGCAGTATTCAGGTAAGTATTGTTAGAATTCAAAAACGTGCAAAATGCTTTCCCCACGCTCAGTGAGTCACTCTGGGTTTACTATATATAAATCAATTTTGGGAAATACCTCAAGGAAGAAATAGACCAATATATAATAGTGCAGATAATAGAACAAGTGCCGAATGATACAAATGTATTCTTTTGCGCCTACACCAAGGAATACATATGTAATATTCTGGACTTTTTACAACCTGGGTGTAGCGGAGGAGTGACAACTCATATTTCCAAGAGCCTATGAGAATGACCCTGTTCTATAGAGCTTTGAAGCCTCTTTAGAGCGACTCATTTCCTCTATGTGCCTCTTGGCTCCTCACTGCAAATAAGGTAGGTGGCCTCACAGGAAAAAGAGAAAAATATGGTGCTGTAAGCTCCATGTAGTTAACTAAGGGTATAAGAGATGACTATGCTCACATGCCCGGGAGTCTGTTAATGTGAGCAATTTTAAAGCCTGCATGGCTGTTTGCAGTTAATGGCATTACTCAAATTCATTAAGAAGCTTATGGAGTAAAGTGTCCAGTTTAAATATCCCATTCCTCTTTTCTTGGCCTTACTTCCTTACAAAATCACCCCCCACACATCCCAAATCCTTTTTTTGCTATTTTAAGTGTTTTTAAAAATTGGGCGAGCGGTGGGGAGATGTGCTCTCTGCAGCATTTGCAAGTCTGTCCCTCTTTCCGTGACACCTACTGTTCTCATTGAGAAGTTTCTGCTGGAACTGCAAGTACCATATACACAATCATTTTTTTCCAGTGCTTGTCGATGAGTACAGCTTATTGAGAAGAGGGCAGGCATGGCTTTTTGTAGTTTAGTGTACCTGCTGCTTCCGTTAGCTCTGTGCAGATAATGGAAGCAGAAGAAAACCTCCCTGACATTCTGAATGACAACAACCATAAAACTCAAGCGCTGTTGGTGGGGATTTTATACCATAAATACCAAGGTTTAGATAACTTTTATTAATATCTATACTAGGATAATTGCAGCCAGATCTAGATAAAGGTTTTTTTTTTTTTTTTTTTTTGCCTCAAATATGTGTGTTTTCACAGTGTAGCACCTAATTAGAACAGAGAAAGAGGATACTAAATATTCTCTAACCTTTTATGCAAATACATCCAGATAATTGAAGTTGGCAAATGAAGGGGATGATTTTTATATGTGTTGCTTCTGGATGTGTTTCCAATGAGATATAAAATAGGTTAGAGTATGGCTAACTTTTAAACACAAAATGTCACTGTAAACCCTTATGTAAAAACGTGTGATGATTTGCATCATTATATAGTGTAATTAGCAGATTTGGGTTATGTGCTATGAGTCGACCGCTCTTACTGTGTACATTAATAGCATTCATTTTGAAAAACATGAAAGAATGAGCCTGCCTTAAGTGAAACCACTGGCCTTACATATTTCCTGCCACCATCAAACCACTAAGTGCATTTTGCATCTTTTTATACAAATTTGTGTATGTGTTGAATGCCTCTAGGATAAATGTCAAAAGAAAAAAAAACAACACAGTTTTCACTTCACAACAAGCCAGTCATGCTGTCTTCTGCTGCCATCTTCTGTCCTTTCTGTATTACTGCACCCTGAATATAAAACACTAATTCATGAGACTTTTTTTTTTTTATTCTTTATGTTGCCGTGCATGTAAAATACAGAGTGGCTATTGCCGGCGTGTCGTTAAACATTTAGAAACGATTGTTTGGCATCTCAAAACATTGCACGTTTTATATTATAGTGTAGTTTCATCAAGAATTAAACCAACTACACTAATTTTTGTAAAATAACACATAGAAAACAAGAAAATAACAGGCTATGCTAGGCATGTATAATTAATAGACTAGACAGTAGCTAAACATATTCATGCTAACTATGTAGCTCTATATTGTTTGTGGAGTAGAATAACACAACACTTAGCATACTAGTAGCATGGCACTAACTGTATTATCAGCCTGTTTAGATTTGCGAGACCTGTTAGGTCACAAGCAAATAGTACCACCAAGGTGCTATGGGACAGGGCAAGACTTTGTAGGCCACATCTGTAGTGGGATAATAGAGGTATATGGGAAGAGAGCATATTTAAAACCGTAAACTGCAGCTAGATCTACACAAATGCCAAATATCATGAGTAATGCTCTGACAGTGCTGTTTAGTGCTGCATCAATCTAGTCCCAGGCAGTGATTGGAACCTGAACCCAGAGTCCACCGGCCACTCTCCCTTTAATTAGGGTGCAGCTTTGAGATCCCGGTTGGTGATATGACCCCCAGGTGCGTGGACGGCATGTGGTCAATCGGAGCTTCTTGGATCCTCGTCTGGGAGGGAGTCCCTGGGGTATAACT